GCTACCACAATGCCACATTCACAAAACAGAGTAGAATGTAACAGTAATTTGTTTCACATTTCCTATTTTTTTTTCCTTAAATTATCTAGCAGCTTTTGGAGTACTTAAAAATGCCTGGAATGGGGACTATAGTGGAAAAGGGCCTGTCTACAGTGTATGTCCTCTGCAGCACTACGAATTAAGAGTTGGATAAATACCTTATTGTAAATGTTATTATGCCATTATTAACATAAGCTAAGGAGGGTGTACTATGTATTTTTTCAATCCCAACAGCAGGCTATCAGTGCCACTAAACAGAAAATTAGACAAGTGAGAAACTAAATGCCACTACTCCATTACACAGTGTACTTCCATTGTGAAGAAACTGTAAAGTTACGTCACAAATTGCAGGTTTACATACGATTTGAAAGTCCTACCAAACACAGCTAGAGTATGGGGGGTGGAGTGGGTTAATATATAAAATCTTGCTCAGGAAGGCTGTGTGTGAATATATAACAGGGCTTTACTTTTAGAGCCAATCAACATCTGTTACTGTGGGAGTGCAACTGCCCTGTTCAGTGGAATTTGTCACATCTGACATTGCTCAAGGCACAGTTCATAGGGCAAACTTTTCTTGCCTAATTCTTTCTCAAGAACCCCTATACAGTTGCATCATTCAATTAAAAAAAAAAAAAAATCAAGAACCTACCCGTTAAGGTCCATTGCACAAAATATTTGTCCCTTAGGCAGTCCCACCCAGGATACACATTTTCAAAGGCTGGCATTCACTGCTTGTTTTCTGTCTCAGCCCAAGCCTAAACAACTTAAGGTAACTGAATTTTAGATAGCTGTTCAGAAAAACAGATGTGGAGGATTTGTGCTGCTCACTTCAGCTGCTCCTTATAATTTGAATTTGGCGTGCAGTACTTGCATGCTGAGTGGCTACTCCCACCCCCTAACTCTGTTTCAGCTGTTGCAGAAGCCTAAGACTTAAAAAAAAAAAAAATAATTAGAAAACCTTTAAGCTGTAGTTGCTCCCGTTTAGTTTCCTGTTAGGAAAGTATGCTTTCATGTTCTTCTTTATGAATACTTCTCATCGGATTTTGTTTGTTTGTTCTACATCAAATTCTTCAGAGTCTAAGGTAAAGTTGCTGTAAGTTCCTATGGAACTAGTCTGTCTAAATAGTACAAGCCTCCCACTTCACTGATGTAGCAGACAGCTCAGACACTAGCTGAAGAGATATTCATTCATTATTGTGTTTTCAAGCACTAGCAGATGAACATAGATATGAAGTTACTGTAATCATATTTTCAGCTTACGGAACCTTAGCATGTTGCTTAGCTTATTGAGACCAGTTTGGCTGCGGTGTAAACTAATGCATTCCTCAATAATTTTTGGAAACAAGATCATTCTATCAAGACTACTATATATGAAGAAAGTTAAGATGATCAAAATCTTACGTCTTCTAATTTCAGCTGCAGTTTCCAGAAAATTTACATGCAAGCAAGAAAAATCAATTTAATTTCCACAGATGCTCTGCTTTAAAGATTTTTCTTCTGTAAGGAAGATCATAAGAATAAGCCTTACCAGCGTTCTATACAAGCAAATATATTGGGCATATTCACAGTTAAACAGATCAGTTTAGGTAAAATTTATGAATTTATTAATGAAGGTGGTTATCATTCCCTGGTTTAGTAGCCAGATGGCAACCACTGCTCTAAGCAACTGCCTCAATTTATGATAAATATATTTTGCCAATATTGTAGAATATAAATATATCTCATCATTATACATACAATATTGAAAAATTTTTACTTCACAGGTATTTTAACACTAATCCTGCCTGGGGATGGAGTATTTCCTCTGTATTAAAATAATAGTACCAAATCTGTCTTCACTGTAATCACAGCAATTACTATCTTTACATTAAAACAGCCTTTCTACCAGCACAGATATTTTATAGTGCAAAGAACAGGGTTGCAAACAGCAGTGGAACCTGCAGGTGAGGAACACACATGACTCTAATACCACAATCAGGAAGTTCTTTCTGTATCTTAAGTTCTGAAAACCAGAACTGATGATGCTTCATTTTCTAAAATGCAGGCAGAAATCCCATCTCCATTGGTAGTCAAAGACCTGTTTCTGTTCACCTGCAAAGGTACTTGTGATTTATCTATTGCTTTTGCTAAAGCTACCTTTAAAACTTACATCATTAGCATAATCTTCCAAATTTGTATATTACAGAGAAGTAGCAAAATACAGTAGTGACTACATTGCAGTATAAATTGGATGTCTCTGGAATTCCTATTTCAGGGCTTAACCATTCTCATCATGAGAGGCAGTTGCAGTTTAAATAGCAAACTGTAACTGTGTGCATTCAATATTAATCTGCCTTTAAATCTCTCCTGAAAACCTTCCTACAAAAATCTTTGTTGAGCTCTAAAACTACAAGCTTCTACGCCACAATTACATCTTTCCCAGATCAGTATTTATTAGCTAAGACTATTTACATCAATGCAAGTGCATTTTCTACATGCAGCTAGGAGTGTACGCCTCAAGAGGTTTTATATGGAACATCCTCAGGACTCATGCTTGTCTTCCAATTAAGTTTACTGATTTCATCTTGGGTATCAAAACATGTACGGGTAGGACATGCATGACAGGGAACTGAGTTTACAGGTGCTCTATACATTCTTTATTCTCATTTGTAAGCCAAATGGAAATCTGAAATCTGGATGTTAGATAATCCTTTCACTATTGTTCCTACAGAAAAGAAAAACCCTTTACAACAGTCTCTTCCCTTAGCAACTTAGCCTTTTAATAATAATGAAAGCAACACCAACATGTAACAAGAAAAACTAGTGACACTGTTTATATACATGCATGGAATGCACTCACTCTGACCATACCAAGTCTGATTTTGAAATTTACAGCATAAAAGTTCGTATTTTAAGAGGCATTATTAAAATTAATTTTGCTCTATATAACTAGGAGAATCTACAAAATTAAATAGATCAAACCTATTATGAGGGCATATCAAGATTGACATGTCCAAAACAGAGATTTATAAGCAACGCTTTCTAAATTGAAACATATAGCTCCATCTCTTCCAATCACATCTAACTTTACTGGTATGCTCTATGTTTTATATTATATTTGTTTACAGTTTCAGTTTACATGAGAACTTACACATGAAGCCAATGTAGTACTTCAGCTTTGAAATGGGAACAATGAAAACACTTGTACACAATTCATAAACACTGCCTATAAAATGAAAATCATGAAAACTGTGTAATAAGCATATAAAGTTTAGATAAATTAAGGAGTAAGTGAAAAACGAGAGTATACTGGTTGCTTAAGGAGTGGCTGTGTTAAATTGCTACATCATTCACTCAACCATTTATTCAGGTTGCCCAAAGAAGTGATAAATGCTCCATCCCTGGCAGTGCTCTAGGCCAGACTGGACAGAGCACTGGGTGACGTGGTCTAGTGTGAGCTGTCCCTACCCATGGCAGGGGGTTGGAACTGGTTGATCTTGAGGTCCCTTCCAACCCAAACCATTTATGATTTTGGGGAAAAACAAAACTAATCAACCAACCAACCAACCAACCAAAAAAAAAAAATCTCCCATAAGCCTGCAACTATACCATCTGCTTCTATTAGACTTCGCAAGTCTTCAACGTGTTTGTATAAAATAGATCCAAGGAGGACGTGTACATATTGATTCACAGTAGGTATCTGGTTTCCAAATGAATCATCATCTATCCAATGCTACATCTTGATGGCAAGGATAGTGCAATGCCCTTCAATGCCTAATATTAAAGTGAGAGCCTGACCACACAATTTCAGTAAGAATTCAGCTTTTTTTCTTTCTCAGAACAAAAAGCAGTCACTTAGCACATGATCAAATCCTAGTGTAGGTGATTACTTTCTGCCCATTTTCCCTGCAGTTCCAAGGACAGTTTGCACAAGTGTGCGATCGCACAGTACTTCGATTCCACTGCTGTATTTTTAGCAGCACCAAAAAAAAAAAAAAGTAAAATACTGTTTTATAAATGCTTTCAAATCCACTGAGGTGGAAGTTATCTATTATGAGTCTAATTTCGCCTCATAGGGAAGTGAACTTTGTCTGTTTCCGCAGATAAAATAGCCCACAAGTTCAGATTTTAAGCCTCTAAGAGAGCAACTCCAGTCACAATATTAGCATACCAGACTAAGTCACCTCATGCAAATTGATGGTTTATACCAAGGGGCATTACAACACCCAGTTTACAAGGATATGGCATTACTTAAAATTTACTTAAGATATAAATAAATGGGACGCACACAACTTTCCCGCACCTGTACAGCATTATCCTCACTATGCACACGAACCAAGTAAGCGCTTTCGTGTTTATAAACTCTCGCGAGAACACATATTCACACTTTCCCCAACTACTCGCTGGAAACGCGTTTGTTACTATCGATACCTACTGGAGCTGGTGAAAAAGCTTTCGTTTTCTCTCATGCTAGCAGCCGAATAAAACGCCTAGTCTTATAAACGTCTGTATACGCACTGAACTCACGACCACACTACTGCCAGGCCTTTCTCCTCACAGATACTCGGAAGCCATTTTCTGCGACAGCGACACCGAAAAGCGCCGCGCTCATGCGGGACGAAGACGTCTCTCCTGCCAATCTTGTGCTCCGCCGCCATATTGAGACGGCGGGTTTGCCTTCTCTGACTCCTATATGCTGAAGCAGAATATAAATGAAAACCGAAAGCATAGTACCTAACCGCCGGACTCACGATGACATTCTAAGGGTTAGTGAACGTGGCTCGGCAGATGTGTAATGATCGGCGGCTAAAGCCACTTCCCTTACCCCTTGGCGATATCTCTGCCTTAAACAGCACTGCTGTCTACGCTCAGAGGCGGCTCAGGTCTCGCCAGCAGTCGAAGAGGTACGAGCCAAAAACTCTGCCTCTCGATGTGTAGACAAGCAAAACTTAAAACCACGCCTGGTGCTGGGGGAGCCTGTTTGTTCTCGCGGCACCGCCCCCTCCTGCTTCTCCCTGTTCCCAATGCCGGACCTGACCCAGCTGCTGTAGAAGAACCCCGGCGCGTCTGGGTGCGTTATACCTTCCCCTCTTCCTTTCCCGCACACTAACATGCGCTCCCAATGTAGGTGTCCTAACACACTGTAGTTTGGAATCGGGTACTTTTTTCTAGTCCTCTTCCGCACCGGGAGTGGGTTTAGCTGGGTGCGGAGAGACGGAGCCTGACCATTCTCGTGAGGCGACGCTGCTGGTCCGCCCGAGCCACGTTTTGTTGCGGAGTGGGTTTCCTCTCGACTAGTTTTTCCGAGTCTGATAGAAAGTCGCGTAGAACTCTTTTTTTTCCTTTCTTTTTTTTTTTTTCTTCTTTTTTTTTTTTTTTTTTTTTTTTTGTGAAAGCACCCTACGGGAAAACAAATTTTAGTTTGCATGTTGTTTTTCTTTGATGAGGAAGACGGGTGTTAAACTAGAGCGTCTCCAAATAGAAACCAGTGTGGTCACTGCTTGTCTACGCTGAGATCAAAATATTTAAGCCTAATACAGAGAGAATTACTGCAGGATGTCCCTGTTTTCCCTAAGTATCTCGTAAGAAATTTTTCTATAGAGAAATGTGGAAGTTGTGGAGCATGCTCCAAACAATTAACTACTTTGAAAAATGCCAGATGATACAGGCTCAAAATGCAGTCACCTTTGTGTCACTGCAGCACCTCTACTTCTTCAAATAAATCAGAAGATTGGAAGCACAGCTAGCGCGTCCTGTAGCAAAGTAAGCTCCTAGCTACGGGCTTTCACATCAGTTCATCTTGGTAAAATAAAGACGATTTCTAGATCGGACCCACACCCACGAATGTTACATCCTGTTTTTGCTGCTGAAGAACTTTATGTGAAATTCTCAAGGAACAAATGCTGCCAGAAATTACAGGCTCGTTGCAGACCGTATTTAGTGTGGTATTTCCCTGCTTCTCTTGGAAAGACCTTCCCTCGTAATACTTCTCTGTCTTGGATCATTGCATTGGTATTTGTGTATTCCTCAGCATTTGTGTTGCAGTCATGAAAACAGCAAACAGTAATACTGCTTCAGGCTTGTACATGCATACCGATCACCACTTGTTAGTATCAAGCAGGGAGTTAACTGAAGCCTTGTGTGGTTTTGTGCATGAAGCTTTAGTTTGTTATTTCCTGCTCCTTGAAGAGGAAATTCATCCCTGACTTTGGTTGTATTCTGTAAGGCCTGGGAGCAGTGTGAAATAGTAAAAAGGAGTATAATCAACTTTGTTAGCTTCACAGAAGCTAATGAACATAGCGATGTTTTTCTGCGTGTTTTAGTGTGGAACAGAAATGGTTTGTGGTCAGAGGAGGAAATAGGCTTGTTAATATTATCGGGTGTTTACCTTAAAAAGTTTTTTCTTGTGAACATTGTTAACAGTGTAATACCCAGGCTCAAAAGTTAGTGCAGGCTTAAAGTCTAATGCTCGTGAAAAAGGTGTTTTCTTGTACAGTATGTGAAAAATCAGTCAGCTTTAAAATCTTACATGTTGGAGAGTGTCCTACATGTCAGGAAAGTCGGAAAGTTAACTAAACCCAGAAGCTTGTATTTAAGTGCACTTTTGAAATACCTCATCGAGCTGGCTTTTCTCTGACGTCTTTTGTGGGCAGGAGGACAGATTAGTCACCCCAGAGTCAGTGACTTCCTTATCAGAGACCCTAAGGCTATTTCCTAGAAGAGTTCTTCCTCTGTGGAAATTTTGGGTGACAGAAAACTCTCCCTTCACCAGCCATTTTCCTTCAGTGTGCCAGAGATTTTCCTGTTTTCTTTGAATACAGGAGGAATAGAGATTTCGTTGTTGCTGCTCCATGTGTAGGCCTGCCCCCCTTCATAACTCACACGATCTTGCAGTATCCTTTTACAGTGGCGGTTTTATTAGACTTCAGGAATTAAGGATGATTGTGGATTTCATATAAGTCAAGAATGTAAATGAGAATGTGTAGTACTTTAGGTTTCGTTTTTCAACCCTCTTCCTGCTCCATAAGCTTTACATTGAAGTCTTTACTCAATACATGAAACATTGAACTAGAGAGGAAAATCCTGTGTGTTTTCTTGCAGTAAATGACATGCCATGAATACACAGACTATTGGTATATTTTTCTTTACTCTCTGAGCAAAGTCAGGTGGATGTATAGAGTTACTTTTCATTTAAACAGCATTGGAATTAAAAAAATAAAAGGCTCGTAGATGAGTTTCATTCTTTTTGATGTACAGACATAGTATGTGACATTTTTAATTGTCACAGAATGTGTAATGAAAGGCTGAAAATGCTTAAAAATGTTATCCAGGTGCTAGAATCCTTCAGTGTATTAGGCTTTGAAGTCGAATTGTTTTGGGGTTTTTTTGGCTTTCAGAATGGTTTAAACAAAACTGTGCAGTATAGTAACTCAGCTGCTTGGAATGACCAAGATTTGTCTTCATATTGCTCATTTCATTTTTCCCCATGTAGGTAATGGGGATCAGAGAAGGTTAGATAGAATTTCCGTAGTTGATGGCAGGGGAAATTGAGCATAGAACCCTCCTTACTATGTTGTTCACAAGGGTGGGGATTTTCCTAGGTTTGAATTTTGATTTCTGTTTTCAGTATGGTGAACCATGAATGTCACATGAAAAGTAGTCTGTGGCTTATCTATATTTGCAGAGTTAGACATTTTGTGTATATAAGGTGGTTTTTTTTGTGTATCTCTTGAATCTTTTTGAACATGGAGGGGGGTGTGGGGAATCCTTAAAACCCTACTAATTCATTCAGATTGGAATCACTTTAAATGATGCTAATAAGTAAGAAAATCCACACATTCCTGAACTTACTCATAATTAGATTGTTAATATTTCTTTTATTTTGACTGCATTTAAAACAAAGCATGTGAATGATCTGAAGGGGGCCTATAAGAATGCTGGGGAGGGATTCTTCACTAGGGACAGTAGTGGTAGGAGAAGGGGTAATGGTTTCAAACTTAAACAGGGGAAGTTTAGATTAGATATAGGGAAGAAGTTCTTTACTGTGAGGATGCTGAGGTACTGGAATGGGTTGCCCAGGGAAGTTGTGAATGCTCCATCCCTGACAGTGTTCAAGGCTGGGTTGGACAGAGCCTTGTGTGACATGATTTAGTGCAGGGTGTTCCTGTGCATGGCAGGGGGGTTGGAACTTGATGATCTTAAGGTCCTTTCCAACCCTAACTATTCTATGATTCTGTGATGGCAGTGGTTTGCCTACAGTGTGTGGTTGAACTGCCTCTTAGCTCCCAAAACTCTTCCTGAAAAATGCCTTGAGACTTTCAGGGAGAAAAGGTGGTAGTAGAGAGGTGAATGGTTGCTGGGAAGAAGTCAGAGCTTTAGACTTAAATGGCTGTGGAACTTAACTAATTTCCAGAAGCACTTGAAATATCACTCATCAGCAAGCTGATGCTCTTTCACTTCCTATGGAATTTTCAGAGTTGTATTGTTTTACTTTTAAAATAACTTCCTTTTACTTTGTGATTAGTACAACCAAGTATTTTTTGTTCTGCAATGAACAGCTGGGAGAACCCCTAGAGAACAGGAGGCCTGTGTAGACTTGGTATTTTAGTTGTAAGTGAAATGTATCAGCTAGGAGAGTTAACTCTGAACTTGTGCTGCAGATCACTGATTTAGTATATTTTAATTCTCTTCCACAGAACTGCTTATGTAAAAATGAATCAAGTTAAGAATGAACACCAGAGAAGTGCTGTGGTAGAGTGTGCTTCATGTCATGTTGGCTTTCTGTTTAAAAAAACAGTAGGCTGGCAATTTTAAAGGGACAGCAACAAAGTGATGACCAGGTGCCAAGTGCCAGCTGCCCTTATTCACCAGATTGAGCAAGAATTGGATGAAGAAGAAGAAGAGATGATGGTTTTCCTATGTCGAGACCTTGCTCCTGACTTGGCCAATGCTGACCTTAGAGAGCTTTTGATGGCTTTGAATGAGAGGGAGAAATTGTCTTTCCTCGGCTTGACTGAGTTGTTGTATAGAGTTAAGAGGTTTGATTTGCTGAGGAGGATCTTGAAGACTGAGAAGGCAACAGTGGAAGCTGACCTTTCCAGGAATCTCAGACTTGTCCCTGATTACAGGTACTATTATCTATTTCAGATATCAAGGCTACGCTATTTTGTTCAAAATGGGGGGGGGGTGGGTTGGAGTTTGGGGGGTGTATGTGTTTTCTTGTTTCTTTTTTTAAATAGGTCTTGAAAGAAAAGCAGAAAAGGGCATTATATCTAGAGTTACAGTGAAAAGAATATGTCAAGTTTAGTCCCTAAAATAAGGCTTGGTACCTTCTTTCAAGTCACTGCATTAGAAGCATCTATAAGAAATTTGTTTATTTAATAAAACTAGCGATATTTATATGGTTCTAGATCACCAGATAGAAATGATGTGTTAGAGGAACATTGTTAGAGATACTTTTTTTTCTAGTTTGCTTTGGTCACATAGCCTTGTAGTACAGCTTTTCTCAGGGGGCATGTCTCTTATTACATTTTCCTCTCTAGTTTTAAGAGGCTTAAATTAAGAAGCTCCAGTTATTTTCTTTGAGAGGCTTCAGGGAAAATTACATATACTCATAAGGAAGATTTTCCTGTATTAACTTCTTACTGAAATAAAACCCCGTAGCTACTAGCTATAAAAGTTCAAATGTGTTCTCTTGCCTCATTCTTTCACTTCATGCCTATTGAAATATTAAGAAGACTTGTGTTTCCTGGCAGCAGATTTTACACAGTCAGTCTGAGTAACAGCAGGTGCTGATTAGCAAGAGGTAGGGATTTTAAAATTGAATCTTGGAGCAGGGTTGGCATTTTCCTGTTTAATTGGAAATGGTACGTTAAGATTGGAAAATGGGAGATGTTGGGTAGTTGGACAGGGGTGGGGTCTTGCTGAAAGCTAATCCTTCAGGAATGTGTCAACTTTATTCCAGGGTACTAATGGTGGAGATTAATGAGAATCTGGAAAAAGAAGAAGTGGGTTCTCTTATTTTTCTACTCAGAGATTACGCACCTCGTGTGAAAATGGCAAAAGATAAGGTACGTTTTTCTGGTGGTCTTCTCTAGGGCAAGAGAAGACCAGCAGAGGAGAGGTTAAAGTGTAAAGAGAAGTAGATAGACAACAAAGCGGTGCTGAGGCTGTGAGAAGCAGACAGAAGTCAGGAAGTGGAGGAGCAGTGGCTTCTATTTCAATTTTTGGTTTTCAGTTCAAGGAAAGATGCATGAGAAACAGTAAGAGAGAACACTGAAGACTTGCTATAGTGAATATTTTTATCATGAACCTCACATGCAGAAGCCATTAAAGTAGTGTTACTGATCAGTAAGTTTATACATGAAGGATTTCAAACCAATAATCGTATGAAATGTATCTTGAATTACAAGGTCACTTTTTAGGTTCATGCTCTGCTTCACTTAGAAAAGAACAGTTTTATTTCAATTAGATCTTTTTTTGTACATTTGTTTTCTGAATATTTAAGTGCTCTGAGAAAGCAGGGATTCAGTAGAGAGGGTTCAGAAAACTTGACAACAGTGCATAGAAGACTGCATATTTCTGTCTTCTTCCTTTGGGGATTCTTTTCTTTTCCTTTTTCTCTCTTTACCCAAAGAAGAAGAGGTCCTGCAAATTCACCAAAGCTTTTCTTACCTCTTCCTTTGTGGCATGTGAGGTCACATTATAAGTCATCCTTGTAGCAAGGTAACGCAAACTCATTTCCTCAAAATGAAACTTTGTTTTGTTTTGTTTTGTTTTTTTTTGAGAATATCACTCTCTGGCTTCCATTACTCGTATGGTAATACCAAGAATTCTTATACCTTCCAGATAATTTCTTAGTGTTTCAGAAGGTAATGTCACTAGTTCTTGAATATACAACTTGTATGAACTCCACATGTTATTGTCTGACTTGTTTTGTTATTTACTGATAGAGAACAAATTACTGATATGACAGTTTAGGTTTCTCTTCTAGAGTTTTCTAGCTCTTGTGATTGACCTGGAGAAACTAAATTTGGTAGCTCCTGATCAACTGGATCTTATAGAAAATTGTTTTCGAAGCATTCACAGGATAGACCTGATTAAGAAGATTCAGAAGTACAAACATGAAGGTAAGATCCTATTTTCCACTGGTTACTCTTGATAGCAAGGATCAGATGTGTTCTTACTGAAGACAAAATTATGAGCTACAAGTCAGAGTATTTGCATGCTTCATAGATTTAGGTTCCTAAAACAAATTGGTATATCATAGTGTATTTCTCTGTATGTTTCTGTTTTCAGCAGTAATATATTCTGCTCCTTCTCAGCCAGTATATGTCAACGCACTTCAGGCATCTCTCCCTAATCTCAGTCTGATTGATCCTCCTTATCATTCAGGGGTAAGTATACATAGACAGATCTTTCCTAAATATTGCCAGACATTGAAAGGGCAGACATCTCTGCAGAGGCTAAGGAATGAGAGATTGCTAGGAACAAAAATACTACTTACTTTATTTCTCTTATTCCTGTTACTTGCTGAGCTTAGGGCCTGATTTAAATCTTCTGACTAAAATAGGTCCCATTTGAAGAGCTTCTGTGAATTTTTTCCTATTAGTTGGAGATGAAAAAAATTGCATCTTGAGAAGGTTTTTCTGCTACTCTAGGGAGTGAGAAGTTTTGCTTTGACTTTTTTTTGCAGAGCATATTACTCTTTGTACTTCTGGATTTTGCAGGAAAAGTAGCATTTTAACTTACAAAGCTAAGGGAGAACTTCTCAGGTTTATTTTTTTAATTTGGTTTTAATCTTATTTTAAGAAATTTAATCTTGGGATGTGGAAGGTCATCAAATCCTGTTGCATGTAATGTTCTTTATATTTGGGTTAGGTCTGATACTGTGATAGTGTGACCTTACTTAAAAGTATTTAGCCTTGCTGAATGAATTTGATGAGATTATTTCTGTCATGTGTTCAGTAAATATGTATGTATAAAGCTCACATACAAGACACCAGTGATGCAATCTGTCTTTACTAACAAGGTCATATCACCTTTGTTTTCCAGAGTACTTACTAGGAAAGAGTTTGCATTGACTTTCCATATTATCATAATATTGCTATTATTTCCTTTCTAATTCAGTGAAAGTTCCTCCTTGCTGCTCTATAGGAAACAAAATTCATATCTTCAGAGGATGGTTTTTGCTTGTTTTCCTATGTTAGGGAACAAGCTTTTCCTCACTGTTCATGTCAGGCTGGTTTGTTTTTTTTTTCTGAGGAGGAAGGGTTTAGGGTTGCTTTACTTGTTATTTTGTAACTTTAATTAGCTGATACATGTGAATCTAAAATATGCAATGTTTCTATTGAGGAAAAAAACCTTATTGTGTTATATTTTGGAACATTCTTGAACAAGAGAGGAAAAAGATACCTTTTTCTTCATTTTAGATCCAGAATGTGAACAAAGAAAAATCAAAAAATGGACAAAGTCTTATTCTGGGTAAGACCATTATATCTGAGTTTTGATAATCTAAAAAAAGTCAAAAGATGAATTTAATTGTATCAGTAGGACTGTTGTTTGATAGTTGTGGTTTTGTCTAATACAGCTGATAACACCAGCAGTAGAGAGTATTTGGGACTTCTGAAAACTGGTGTCCCAAATACTCAATACCGAAATACTCAGATACTGAAAATTTGCTCTTGTATTTGGTTTTGTTGGGGTTTAAGCCCAACCAGTTAACTCAGAACCATGCAGCTGCTCTCTCACTCCCCCTTCTTTTTCTTCATCCACTCCTGGGGAACTGAAAGAATGTAACTCCCACAGCTTGAGATAAGAACAGTCCAATAACTAAGGTATAACACAAACCCAGTACTGCAACCACCAATAATAATAATGATAAGGGAAATAACAAGGGGAGAGAACACAATTGCTCACCACCTGCCGATCGATACCCAGCCCAACCTGAGCAGCCATCTGGCTTTCTAGGTAACTGCCTGCGGTTTATATACTGGGCATGACGTGCTATGGTATGGAATACCTCTTTGGCTAGTTTGGATCAGGTCTCCTGTTTCTGCTTCCTTCTGTCTTCCCCTTGTCCCTGGCAGAGCTTGAGACTGAGAAAGTCCTTGATTGGAGTAAACATTACTTAGCAACAACTAAAAACATGGGTGTGTTACCAGTGTTGCTGTCAAGCTAAAGTCAAAACCACAGCACTGCACCAGCTACTAAGAAAAAGAAAAATAATTGCTACTGCTGAACCCAGGACAGCTTTGCTGCTTGTGCCAGACCTTAAAATTTCATTTAAATTCTTGTAGGCTTCCACTTTCATAGCTTTTCAGCAGAATAAATAGTTTATTAGTAAAATCATGGAAGAGGTTGACTAGCCAGCTCGAAGGTCATGTAGTGCAGCTGTGCAATTTAAGTCTCAAGTAGGAACTTTCTGAGTCAATTCAGTGGTGAGCTCTCCACCAGGCAAGCCAGGAAGTTGTCCAGTAAATATCAGGTTCTTACCATCTGTGTTGTGTTCTTTATGGAAATGCAAAGTTCGTCTCAAATATGGTGATTTTTAGAAGAGCAGTTGGCTGAATTATCTCGGTGTAGGAGAGATTGTTAGTTTATTCTAGTTATAAGCAATATAGAATGCAATCCAAATAACATTTTAGAAGTGAAATTTTGGGCGTTTTCTTAACTTCAGTAGCATGCGTAGAAACTGAGAAGTCCAGATGAGTGAGAACTAGGTAGGTTTCTCTTCGGCTGGTCTCGCGTCAAAGAAATGTCATTGGTTCCTACATACTGAGATTACTTATGTATGTTTCACCTGCAGCAGAACCAGTCCATGTGTCCATTCAGGAATCAGGACCAGCATCATATGAGGTATGTGCTTGTGCATATGTTTGCATGTAAATGTAATAAAATCCTCACAAGGTATTTACCTTAGTTTTCTTTCTGTTTCATTTTGAGATTTCCTTTTAATTGCCTGCAGACAGAACAATGTGTACACCCATATCTTCCTCAGCCTTAAACAGGTTCTGTGACTTGCTTTTGCAGGATATAGTTTTAATATAAAATATTTGTTGCTACTTCAGAAGCAGGAGTGTGCAAAATGCTCGTACATATGATGTGCACACAGAACTTGTGTATTTATTAGTGGAAGCTAAGTCAAAACTTGCTGGAAGTCAGACCTCTTGCCATCTGCATTAGAAATTGCAGGGCTTCTCTGCATGCAGTAAATTTTGTTCTTTATTCTCTCCCTGCCTATTGCTCTCAATGTGGAAGACAGACATATTCTGGGTATTAATGATAAGAATGAATGACTGCTATTTCCACTACCTCCCCTGTAGGCCAGGAACCAGGGAATTACCTATAGCAATAGTATTGTAATTTTTAAAGGGAAAAGGTATTGTGGTATTGTCATTACAGATTATTTAGAAACAAGGAGGTTGTTCCACTAAATAAGGAAATAAATGTTTTTCTGATAAGCAGTGCTTGCTTGCACACCTGAAGAGCACAAAAGTTCTCTACATTTATTGTGTTGGCAATATGAAGCTTATAGTTCACATCTAAATAGCAGTTACAGTTAAAGAAATTAATTTGGAAGTACTGTAGAAGGGTCATTGCTGTCATAGTCCAGGTCTTTAAAAAGGCTCTCCACCCCATATAGCTGCTTTTTTTAGTCTTCGTTCTAGGATCATTGTGGTAGTAAGATTTCATAACACAAGGGTGCAAAAATTAAGCCTGTACTAGAAATGGGGGGCCTATGTCTCCTCATATTTTTATTGCTGTGTAGATAGGACATACTGCACCTCAGTAGATAGACTTCTGCTAGCTACTCTGTGGAAAAACAACGTGACTGAATAGACCTGAGGTTGTGAAATGTGAGAGAAGAATCAAGTCTGTAAGTTAAGAGTGACATACTGCCGCAGAAAATATCTGGACCCAGTCAGAGATCAATATGATCAGACAAAAGCCATTTATTACAAAGCCTTAACCCCTTACATACTATTTCTTACATGCACTTACAGTGATTTGGCATATTATGATTGGATACATGTCTTGAAGACCCTTAGTGACTAACATATAATTGGTTATGCGCAGGTGTGAGAACTTGACCTCGAAAGCTTGCCAACAGTCCACAGTTCTCGTTAACTTCGTTAATTCCAGCTTCTTCTTATCTTGCTTCTTTAGGCTTCCTTGGGCCTCTCATGGCCTTGATGTATCTTTCAGGATTTATGTACCAATTATCCCTTCCCCTGTGAGAACACCGTTTCCACAACATACTAAGAACTTGTCCTTCACATTCCTCAGGTGTTCGACGATAAGTACAGAATGCAAAGTCAGCCTCTAGGAATATGCCTGATAATAGACTGTATTGGGAACAACACAGGTAAGTCTGTGGAATCTGAAGTTCCTTATTTTCTTAATCTCAGATAATTAAAGCAATTTAGTATAAAGAATACGGTGTACATTTGACAGCCAGGCTAGAGTAATATTGTCCTAGTCAGCTAGTCTGTCGATTCTAGTACGTCTTCTAAAGCAGAGTTGAAAGGCCCAACCTGAAGTTAAAGCAGACTATCCTAATTATTGCAGGCAATGTTTGTTTGGTTTTTGGCACAGAATCTCTGAATGAAAGAACTTGTAAGGAAGATAGACTGAATTTTGGGAGGGAGAAAAAGGATGTTCAGAGACCAACAGAATAGTTAAGATACAGTCATACAGCAGATTATTGGCAGAGATGGTAAAGGCAGCATTTTCAGTTAACAAAACCAGAACTGTGGATTTGAAGTGTAATCATATTGGACGCTACAGATTTTGAATAGCTAAAGGCACATGATTTATTATTAGTAATACACCTATGCTTCTGTCACATCTTGCACAGTTTAACTGAAAATGTCACCACAGCTCTACAGGAATTTTCTTCCTTCCCTCTTGGTTTAGTTAAAAAACCCCAAACCAACCAATGCAAAACGAAACAAAAAATACCCCCCAGAAAAGCCCAACAATTTGCATGTAAAATTCAAGATAGTGCTATGGTTAAAATGTGGGGTTTTCCTGATTACCTTTATATAAACTAAAAAGTATATGTTTGCGTAAGCAAAAAAGACCTACTCTCTAATCATTGTAAAATATGAGGCTGAAGTAAAAATTAAGAGAGTACTTGCTGTCAGTTCTGTAATAAGCTAGGAGATGTTGGGGAAGAAGAGGGTTTGTCAGTGTATCTTTTTCTCATAGCTAATGGTCCAGCAGATAGACCCACTTAAAATTATTGATGTAGTCTTTGAGGAGCTGTGTATAAAAAGCATAGATACAGAAAGTAAAATTTTTATGTTTGATGATCATAAATTATATAAAACAAGACAGTTTGTCATTAGGATAGCAGGAATTTATTCATAATGCCGCAATTAATGAAAACGAGGGACAGGAAGACACCTTAGTCAGTTACATGAAACTGGGAAGCACCCTTGGCATCTGATTTCGGTATGTCCTTCGAAGTGCATCAATCACCTCTGGCCAAAAAGAACAAGGACGCAGTTGCTGAATGCAAAAAATCTAAAACACTTCTTCACTTCTGTTGTCAATGAAGAAAAGGCTGACTTTGGCCAATAGGAAACTACAACAAAGACAGCCTGCCAAAGCCTGAAAAACTTGGGGGGCAGGAGAGCAGCTCTTGAGATCAAACATTCTGCTCTGTCTTGTTGCCTGCTTCTTTACTTTCCTGTTCTTCTCTCTTCTATGGTAGCTTTAGAGAACAAACAGCCCTGTCAATGCAAGAAAGATACACAGCCTTAATCTGAAAGGTAGCACAATAGTCTGCTCCAATACCAAAATAATTACTTGTAATTCTGTTTCTTAAAAGCAAATGCAAAAAAGATTGCTAGGGAAATACAAGTGTGGGGAGTTAAAGAAAACAAGAGGTGTAGAAATAGTGTTCTTTATGAAAAAGCACTCTGTAAAGTTAATTGTCTCTAACAGCATATGAGCTTGTGCTGACCTAATTTATTGAACAAAAATGTTTTACTATGCCAGGTCTGATTTTTATGATTATTTTTTTTAATGAAACAAAGTACAAAAGCAGGTAAGGTATGTACATTGGAGAAAACAGGAACCACTACGTCAGTGTAGTCATGGATACATAAATTTAGACCTATTCTCCCTTAGAAGGCACGGATCTTTTGCACAGACGCTATACTGTGCACACTGCTTTGTCATGGTAACTGCTACTAAATACAAAGATTGCTTAAAATAAAAATTAAAACCCCACTGCATGTGATCTTCATGAGCTCTTACAGTCATCTCAGTACTTGTACAAGAACAGAAAGTGTAAGTGTGACAGAGGAAGTCTGCTGACTGGAGAGGACAAAAATAGATCACGTTTAGTGTCTGGCATGTCATATACACTAGCAAATCATGGTTCTGCTGCTCTTGTGCCAAAACCACCCAAAGCAAGGCTTAATGTGCTTCAGTCTCCATGCATTTTCTGCAGTGGATCAGACGTTTAATGTCACCAGTGCATCATCAGCATTTTAACATGATAGAAAGCAAGACTTTCACTTAAATAAATTCCTGTGCTAGTGAAATTCAGGAGAGACAAGACATACACCATTGCTTAAAGGAGCTTGTTAGAAAGGCATTCACTACTGTGTAGAGTTGTGCAACACTACTTCTGAAGTCTGAAAATAGAGAAGTGGGCAGGGAGAACATAAAGAACTCTATCTATGGTATTCATTAGAGTCTGTAGCTATCCCAAGATTTAGTCTGAGAAAGTTGAACCAATAATAGATCCTGCATGTTCAAGGATTCCAGCAGTTGAAAATGTTCAGTGTAAATTCAGTGTTCAGTACATGCTGATAAAATTCAAACTGCAGTGCCCATTCTGTTTTGTAAATAGCTGCTTTTGACTTTTCCATGTGGAAGCCAGTTTTTACCCTTACTTTGTAAACAGTCAAGGGGAGGAAACTATAAATTTTGTATGTAGAGTGGAAATGCTCCAAAGTCAGTTTAAGTTTGTTGGGAGATGGTTACTGTTGAAGAAACAGATGCTTTCTGATCTGAAGCTGCAGCATGTAGCTTTTATCTTGCCTTAAAGTAAAATTGCTGTATCCAAAGTTTACCATGGATAATTTCTGATTCATTGTTAAATAAAGGTATCAGCTTTAAGATTATTTGGTTTAATTTTTTTTTATTGTGACACTTAAGAGTGTGGCAGGAAAAGCGCTCTCGTTGCTGTAACTTTTTTGCGTATGTACTACTGCCCTCTGAAGGATGAAGTGCGTCATCGAGTATATAACTGTTCAACAGTATTAATACTGAATCTTCCACCTGAATTTTGAAGAGGATTTTTAATTGCCTAAAATAGAGGGGATTTTCCTTTCTAATTCCAAATAAAAAATACCCAGATTTTTTTAATTATTTAACAAAATTTAAACAAACCAGCAGAACTGTAATGAAACTCTAGTTCCAGTTTAGCACCTTGCTATAGTATAGTTTGTATTTTGCTGAGGAAAGTTACAAGTTGTGTTCCTTGTTTTCACTATGGGCATGTGTGACGGTACAACTTCCGCTTTGCTGCCAGTTACCTCTGAAATAGCCTCTGATAATTCGGGATTGTTAAACTTTTGAAGTCCAGGAACAGCCCAGCTTCCTGTGGCTGTAAGGCATTTTACATAAACTTGATGTTTCCTGTAATATCAGAAACTTTGCATGCTTTATTCTGAATGTAACAATGCTACAGGTATCCTAGTAGTGTCCTGTGGTTCTCTGAACGCTTAAAAAATGCCAATGATTTTAGCCATAATGTATCTGGCTTCACTCCCATATTAATAAACATCCAAAGTAGTTATTCAGAGCATAGCACATTTTCCTGCAGCACAAATACAGTTAAATCTTGATTTTGGCTATCTACAGTTTAATTTCTCATACATTTGAAGGGGTTCATTGTTCAGCTTTTTCTTTTTTTTTTTTTTGTCCCTGAAAATGTCCTTCCTTCGCAGTTCAGACTCCAGTGTCCATTCTCCACCTGGAACTCGTCACTTAAAGTTCATTTTATATAATAGGAAGTATAACTGACTGCAGCATGTTCCCTTTTGACTGATGAAAGGGAGCCTGTGCAGTTCTGTAGATCTGTAACCACTCAGAGTAATTTTGATAAGTTAAAAGGTGAAACACACTTCCCATGTTACCCAGATCGCTCCTTATCATTTCTAGAATGTTGTGTGTGAAGCATTTTCTAATATTTTCTCTTGGCTGATATTTCAAGTGCTAGGAACTTGGGATACTGGCTCTAAGTTAAAGCATGCAAGTGCCTGTGGAATTTGGAACAGATCACATGCCAAATAATAGAGTCTTTGCTGTCACAAAGTACATAAACATATTAAAGACAGCATGCATATAGCACTATAAGTATGTAACGTAATCAACATCAAGTACTCTTGATTTCTTTAATTATTTTTTGGAAATAAATTATTTGCAGTAGTGAAATACTGTAAATACTGTAATTCAAGATACTTGAGGTTGAGTCTTGATGTGCAGTGATGTAATTACATCTAGCTTTTTTTCAGATATGCTGGAAAAGACCTTCAGATGCTTAGGCTATGATGTTCATTGTCACAAATACTTAAATATGAAGAACATGAATCAAACACTGATTGAAGTTGCAAGGTTGCAGAAGCATAGAAACTGTGACAGCTTCATTTGCGTATTGGTCAGCCGTGGGAATTCTAAGAGCATCTTCTGTACGGACCATACTTTTTCTGGATTCCCTTTGGAACAAGTAAAGGTATACTTCAGAGCAGACTCATGTCCAGAACTTGTAGGAAAACCGAAGCTTTTTTTTATTCAGAACTACATTGTGCCAGACAATGAGCAAGAATGTACTAGTTTGTTGGAAGTAGATGGGAATAATGAGAACTTCTTAGCTAATGCAGAAACCCCATGGAAAGTCACTATTCCCCAAGTAGCAGACATCTTTTGGAGTCACTGCAAGGTGAATGTGTCTACACTAGAAAAATCTTCAAATTCATCCTCCTATTATCTGCGTTGCCTGGCTGACCTACTCTGCAGTCCTCATAAAAGGTAAATAAAAGAGTTAAAAAACAACCCTTTTCCTATGACAGCCTGCTGCCCTACAGAAAGAGAAACCTGAAGTTTCATTCTGTCTGATCCTGAAAAGTGTCATTTGTTATGCTGTGTTGTAAGTTAAAAGACAGGTATACCTGATCCTGGAACGATGACACAGGAAGGTTTTTCAAGATATTTATGGCGTTAACACTTAATACCTTTTTACAAACCCTGAAACCTTCTAATGAAATCACAGCTCATCATATTAGCATAACCAATATCACAACAGTGATTTGGGTTGTAACAGATTGTCTCCAAAATGCATATTCAGCCTTGGGTTTTAGAGGTGTAACCTCTGCAATAAAGACTGACATTTGAAACTTTCTCCTTGCTGAGTCTAAAGTTGTGTTCTCACTTGTGGATTCTTAAATGATGTCTTACTTCATTCTCTAATAGAAAGCTTTTACTTTTGTTGCTGCAGGAAGCTCTCTATATTGGATATCCATACGGAACTGAACAGAAGAGTCTATGAATGGAATAAGACTGCTGATCCAAGCCAACAATATTCACTTCTGCTCCAGCACACACTGAGGAAGAAACTTTTTCTTTCTGCCACTTAACTGCTGTTGGAAGGTTGAGGTGGCTAATGAGAAACATTTATGATCCAGACAGTCCTCACACATGCTGTTACTTTATGCATTGTTACTGCATGTATATCTAAAGTGCCTGTTGCTTCCAACCCCAGAGATTCAGAAGCATTTCAGTGTGTTAAGGCACTGGATTTATATTCTAATACAGAAGGTTCTTAAAGCTTGGAGGAGGATGCTGGCTATCATTTAGCACTGCCACAGATTTTTCAACATGTACAAGTAAACAGGTTGGAAAGAGCTCTGTAGAGCTGTTGGTTTCCCAGAGTTTTGCGTATTATTTCACTGGTTCTTTTTTAGCATAGCTATTAGCAGTGCACTGATCTAGGTTCTTCTGTTGATGCTTAAAACAAATACAAGCCAGTGCAGGCTGCTGGAAAAGCACTGGGTACTCTCCCCAGCACCTAATAATGGAAAACACGTTGGGAAAGAATCCCTACCCAGCAATGCCAGTTCTTCATTACCAAGTTCTGGCTTGCATGCCTCCACAGACTAGCATAACAGAAGGAGAAGAGAGATGGTCTTTTAACTAATTTGTATTGCGTCTCCTTGCTGCATTAAAGGTGATTCACTCAGGACTACTGTCAGTACTATCCACAGCACACAAGGGTTCTGTTCTACGTTAATAAATGAGACGGTCTGCCATGTTGTGGGCCAACTATGTTTTTTGCTGATGCAGAACTGAGTTTACATGTGGCAGGGCTTTACAGTAATCTACCACACAGTTAAAAACTGTGGGATTTTGGCAAGAATTGTGGAAACTGAAACATGATTCACACTTGTTGACCAGGTATAGTTGTAAAAATCCACTTTACCATATTTGAACCTGTGTTGTGTGCAGCCACTTGCTCTTCTAAGTGAATTAAACACCACACCCTCACTGCTTTTGCTCATGAAAAAGGGTATGTCTTTATTCATTGATTCTTTCTTTTATTTTCTTTTTCCTCCAAGTTGCTCTTGTTCTTCTGAAAAAGGCATGAGTGAAAACTATCAATACAGAATTTTTTCTCCAGTGGAGCAGATGCCTGACACAAGTTAGTTAACGTGCTTCTTATATAACAGTATAACCTCAATGAGCTGTATTAAAACTTAATTTCACCGAATTCATGGCTTTCTCTTTCCTCCTAGACCATTTGCCAACTTCTAATACTTCTAATGCAGTGTTTTTTCCAGGAAAAAAATAAAAGGCCTTAGCATGCCTTGCTTGGTTTCTTGTGTAGTCACACCCTACCTCCTTCTGGCATGTGTTTCATGCAAGCAGAAAGGGGGTTTTGCTAATGCAGGATATACTAGTTCCTTGAGCAAATATACCGCAAAAAGATTCTTTTTTCCTAGTAGCTGCATTTAATTTGAGCAGAAAGCAAGTGTGCTTTTGTATATAACTTCAGCAACAGTACTTTTAATTGTAGACCAAGTCTATCAGGCAGCTAGCTTATTGATAGAATACATTGTACATTGTATACTATCCGTATATGTCAGTATATTGAGAATAGTTAGGAGTGCTTGGCTAGTAAATTTACTCCAATAACAGTGAAATTTTTTTTATTCCTTGATATTATGTTGTACTTAGATGTTGGCTTTACATAGAATCATGTCAGTTTTGTCAACTTTTTTTTTTTTAAACCATGTTTCTTAAGTTTCATTCAGGCAAAAAAAACCCCAACCCAACCCACAAATGTGTTTTCAAGTAGCCACTATAAATGAAATTGAAAATCTTTTTTATGTGGCAAAGAGTAGATATCAAAGTTTAAAAAGTGCTTAGGAGCCCTTCCTTATTATGTGATGTAGAGCCAGATTAAGAGCATATAAAGAGGAGAAACCCACTGAACAGGGTTTACCTTACAATCTTTTAACTATCCACATAAAATGTTACTATTAAAATATATATTTATTTATATTAATGTACTATTTTATATTTTATATGAAGTACATATTATTATGATTAAAAATTCAGCTCTTTATATTTTATTTGCATGTTAACTCCAAGAAGTTACATACACAGTTGTGAGGAAAGACATTTTTGCACAATTTAGAAAAGTAACTCACCTGTATTGCAAGCCTATGCGTTCCATACTTTTCTTTTTCCACTTAATAAGCTATAGTGTCCTCTTTTTGAATTGGGAAATGTAGCCCAAAAATTCATGTTATCAATGTGTTATTTGTGTGACTGAAATTTTATGTAGGCACAGGCATAGGAGGAAAAACAGAAAATAATTTTTTGGAAAATTCAGACATTCTCTAAAAGGTTGTTCCCTATGTACATTAAAGCAAAAATATTAAATCCAATTTCATTAAGTTTTAGGTGTGGAAATAAACGCATCATAGTGGGACAGGAAGAAGGATCAGGTCTTTTTTTTCATTTTATTGTTTTCTAAGATCCCATTGAACTGGTCTTTTTCTGAAACTGGTGCCATCTTGCTTCTGACTTTAAAAATACTTGTGTCTTAAAACTACGTTCATATGTATTCCACACACTAGAGAACTTACTGCATTGCATCAGCAGAACGGTCTATATTATATGTGATAGGTAATAAAAATAACATTAATTTCTAACCCTGAATATTTAATAACTCATTATCTTAGAATAAGGAACAAATTCATTTTGAAACTATACCTTGCTAATTTTTCATGGGGTAAGAGAAGGATTATAAAATGACAGATTTAGACTCTCAGAAGTTACTTCCTGGAGTGGTTGGCAAATGAAGCTAATGGTGAAACAAGTATTTCCTGTGGTTGTAGAAATGCGATAGGATTCCTACTTTACCATATGTATCAATGTAGTGTTAATAAATGTGATGTCATTCATAAATTAACTTCACTTTTTCCCATTTCCCTTACTAGCTTTTGCATGTGATGAACACTTCTGCTGCCTTGTAGACAACCAAAAGCAGGGAGAATGGAACAAAGAGAAGTCAGAGAGATGAGGGAAAGAAATACAGAAATTTCATTGGGAACAAGAAGGAGAATGGCAGGGAGGACCAAGAGAAGAACAAATAGGGAAAAGAAGATTTGGAGGAGAAATACAACATCAGTCCTGGAAGGAGAAAGAAGAAAACAGGAGATAAGGGAGAAAGTAAGAACAATAGGAGCTGTCCTTAAAGGATCTAATGATGTGGTGGGCTTTGTGGATTGGTGGTGGGTTTTTTGAGTGTCACTAAATACAACTATTTACTTAAAAATATTGACAATAGGATATATTATGTTTCTGACAGTTTTGTGACTATGTAGGTTTGGGGATTATGAAGTGTAGGTGTTCTTCACCTTAGTGCATGACCCCTTCTGTAAGAAGTGGCAGTGAAATGCTGTTCTGAAAACTGTAGAGGCTCCTGTAAATAACCCTTGCAGTGGAAAAGGGAGTCTCTTTGTGTCTGGCTGCTTGGGTTAGAAGTGGTCACAGACTTCCTAATGACAAAATCATTGTGGGGACATGTCATGTATTGCACAGCATTCATGAATGTCAGATCCTCGTTTTCTACACTGCTGTCTTGACCCTCATTAGGTTTTTAAACCACAGTTTACTCATTCTGTGTTCATTCCTCTAAGCAGTGTTTATTGCCTTGACACCTCTTTCAAGGGTAGTGTGTGGGTAGATGGATTCCATGTACTTGCTGCATAGTGAAAAGTAATGCTGAAGTCAGTATTTATTAACATACAGGAATTTTTGTGATGCCAGTTGTCTCACTTCACCCATAACTTTTTGTATATAACTTTTTGTATTCCTCTGTACACATTGCTGCACTGTGCACCTAAAATTTGAGTATGTAGGGTGACTGGATGCAAGGCATAGGTTGCATCAAGTTGTATGTGTATTGTAGATAGAGTGGTTGAGTGGTATCAAAACTTATATTCAGTAGCCAAAGAAAAGGAGGGAGGGGAAAGAAATTATTCTGGATCCATCATGAGTTTAGGGTGCTAGCACAGGAACAGAAGTGACATGCTTGTGGCCACAGGCTACCAAAATGTCTAGTTTTCAGACATACCAGTTGTTGAACGAGATAAAACAAGTCACTTTTCTGCTCCTGCATTGTCAGTGCTTGTAACAAGGCTGTCAGAGTGGCTGCTCCATGGCACTAACCTTCGCTTTTGCTTTCTGGTAGCTAAAGTAGAAATTTCTCGTACTTCTGCATGTGCTGTATATATGGAAGAGAGAAAAGAGAATTGGCAGCATATAGATGATGCCTTTCAGTGGCTCAGAAGGTGAACCTGTGAGGCAGGAGATTCTGTGGTGGTTTGCACCAGAATCAAGTTGCCTGATTTTTTTTCAGCCACCGGCCTTGACCTGACTGAGCCATAAATCCAGTTTACTTTGTACTGATTGTTACACTGTGTCTTACAGTGGTTGCCAACTCATTATCCAGAAAAGAAGTTATGTTAAAGAGGAAGTTACAATGTTAACAGTTGTAGAAGGAGCATGCTATGTGTCTGGGCTTCCTTTCCAACTCTGCATAAGACCTTAACAGTGACTCCTGTTACAGAAACCTGAGTCAGAGAAGTTTTTTATAACAGTTTCTGAGAATTCTTATATCCAGAGTTTTAAATTTCTGACGTGCAGGATGATGTTGCTGAGAAGCACCACCATCTGTGAGGATGATCTGCTGTATATCTGACTATGTTCCTTTTAAACTGCATCTCCTGTACTGAATTACTTGACAGCTTTTCTGTGGCTGTTTTGGAGAAATGTCTTTATTTTAGCTTCTGTATTAGAATTCTGAATTAGACATTGTAAGTCTTTAAGGAATTCTGGTTTTGTGGATTGTGCTTTTCTGTTTTTGCCACATTTTAAAATCTGTTACTCTGAGAGTGTATTGTGTTTTGTAGAAACCTCATAGCAGCCTTCCAGTATCTGAAGGAGGGCTATAGGGATGCTGGGGATGGACTATTCATTAGGGACTGTAGTGACAGGGCAAGGGGTAACGGGTTAAAACTTAAACAGGGGAAATTTAGATTGGATACAAGGAGGGAGTTCTTTACTGTAAGGGTGGTGAGGCACTGGAATGGGTTGCCCAGGGAGGTTGTGAATGCTCCATCCCTGACAGTGTTCAAGGCTGGGTTGGACAGAGCCTTGGGTGACATGGTTTAGTGTGAGGTGTCCCTGCCCATGGCAGGGGGTTGGAACTTGATGATCTTAAGGTCCTTTCCAGCCCTAACTATTCTATGATTCTGTGATCATAAACATGATTTGAATCAGTGCCATTAATAAAATAGCATGATTTAGGAAAACTGGTGCTGTTACTACTAAATTATAAATGCTATATTTCAAGCCGAGTTTCTGAAGAAAATTTCTGCATGCAGTCAGACCGGTTGTCCCCGTCTCTCAGCTCACAGTACAACTCTTGAAATTCTTGGTTGACTCATCTTGCAGACCTCTACAGCTCGTTAAGTTTGTCTGTGAAGTTCTACAGCTCTATAAAAATGAGCTGACTGAATAAAGGACAGCAAGCCTTTTATTTTCAACAGACAACTCGGCCATTGTTGGTGTGTTGGACAGGAGCTCTTTGGCAAAAGCAAGGAGACTCCATTGCTGTTCTGGTTCCACTGATCCGAGGGTATGGTGAGGTACAGATGACGCGGGAAATGGTGAAAGCTCCGAGGAGCCAGCTATAGAGCGCTCCTCACCTTCCTCCTCCTCCCTTTACTCTGCAGCAGGGCAGGGGAGGGGACACCCGCATAAAAACAGCACTGAAGGCGTCTCATGCACGCAGTACTCTCAAGCTGCTTGTCGGGGAAAAAAAACTCTGCCAGAAACGGGGTTTTGTCGGGGGTTTTGTGGGGGGCTTTTTATGCCATGTGGCGTGCTTTAAAATGGCTTGATGGCGAAGGCGAAAGCGTTGCTGGTTTCGTCCCGGAAGCGTTGTCCGTGCCTATTTTTCAGACTACCTGGCGAAGTTCCTCGGCCTGGGCGCGGGCAGGGATCCCTGAGGGCGAGTGTTCCGAGGGGCCTGGCTGGTTGCCCGAGAGAGAGAGGGAGAGTCCGCTCAGCCACCGCAGCGGTGGGTAACCCTCCGCGGACGGGCTCACAACTCCTTTCCCAGATGGACGCTGTCCCATTTCCCGCCCCCTCCACTGGGATGCCGCCTCCGTCCTGCACTGCCCTGGGTTGCTGGCGCGGACAATCCTGGTTTCGGCAGAGCGTAGGGCTCAGCGCCGCTCCGCAGGGAGTGCCGGGATCATGACTCAGTACTTGGGAATGCACCGCCGACTGGCCGGGAATGAACTGGGAAGTGCTGAGCGCCGCCCCTAGAGTAGTTGCTGGGAAAGGGGACGGTGTCTGTCGAAATTCATGTAGGAGGTAAGAAAGGGGGGACTGAACTGGAGAGGGAATGAAGGAAGATTTCAGCTCCCGATTCCAAAACCTCGCCACTTCCGTCCGGTATTGCGTGTCTGCCTCTGGGCTGCCTGCGGGGCCGGAGCCGAATACTCCCCTTGGTTTTGGGGCTAGGCTGCAGCATTCCTTGTGCCCCTTAGTTTTTGTTTTCGGGTTGTTTTTTTGGTTTTTTTTTGTTTGTTTGGTTGGTTGGTTTGGGTTGGTTTGTTTTGTTTTTTGTTTTGTTAGGTTTTTTTAGTTTATTCTGAATTCTTTTTGCCTGGGAGTGCCCCAGTGAGTCAAATTTTAAACAAATAGTAACTCTCAGAATCCTTATTACTTATTTTATGTGATTTTCTTTCCTGGGTATATTGCAAAACATGAATTGGAAACGCTGATCCATCATTTTTGTGTGTGTTAATGTGCTCTACGTGTAAATACTAGGGTGAGCCGTAGCAAGCCTAGGGAGCAGATAGGTCTTGGGCCCTGTGTGTGTTAGTACTTAGCATTAAGTTGTTTTACTGGAATAGGGATCGATTGATAGTTTCTTTGCTCTGGGACTCTGTCGTAGTTTTGTTTGTTTGTTGTTTTTTGTTTTTTTTTTTTAACTGTGTGTTTTACAAATGCATGAATTGGTAGAGAGTTCTAAGAATAGTGTAATAGTAAGCTGAGCAGGGGATGTGCAAGTGAGTGAGCAGTGTTTCTTTTCATTATACTGCTGGGAGAGAGGGCCAGCCCAGCCTGCCCTCAGTGCAGAGCTAGGGAAGAGAGGTTACAGACGGGTAGTAAACACAGCACATGTACAGAGGGTATTCCAGTGTTTGGAATGAAAATCTCTTTCCAAGAATGGCAGCAACACAGACTTGAAAACTCTTTTAAATGAATTAGAATCAGACTCATGGAATAGTTAGAGTTGGAAAGGACCTTAAGATCATCGAGTTCCAACCCACCTGCCATGGGCAGGGACGCCTCACACTGAACTATGTCACCCAAGGCACTCTCCAACCCTGCCTTGAACACCGCTAGGGATGGGGCATTCACAACTTCCTTGGGCAACCCATTCCAGTGCCTCACCACACTTACAGTAAAGAACTCCTTATATCCAAACTTCTAAACTTCCCGTTTAAGTTTTAACCTGTTACCCCTTGTCCTGTCACTACAGTCCCTAATGAAGAGTCCTTCCCCAGCATCCCTATAGGCCCCATTCAAATACTGGAAGGCTGCTATAAGGTCTCCACACAGCCTTCTCCAGGCTGAACAGCCCCAACTTTCTCAGCCTGTCTTCATATGGGAGGTCCTCCAGTCCCCTGATCATCCTCGTGGCCCTCTTCTGGATTTGTTCCAACAGCTCCATGTCCTTTTTATGTTGAGGACACCAGAATTGCACACAATACTCCAGGTGAGGTCTCACGAGAGCAGAATAAAGGGGCAGGATAGAATCATAGAATAGTTAGGGTTGGAAAGGACCTCAAGATCATCAAGCTCCAACCCCCCTGCCATGGGCAGGGACACCTCACTCTAAAGCATATTACCCAAGGCCTCATCCAACCTGGCCTTGAACACTGCCAGGGATGAAGCATTCACAACCTCTCTGGACAACCTATTCCAGTGCCTCACCACCCTAACAGGAAAGAATTTCCTCCTTATATCGAATCTAAACTTCCCCTGTTTAAGTTTTAACCCATTACCCCTTGTCCTACCACTACAGTCCCTAATGAAGAGTCCATCCCCAGCATCCCTATATGCCCCCTTCAGATACTGGAAGGCTGCTATGAGGTCTCCACACAGCCTTCTCTTCTTCAGGCTGAAGAGCTGCAACTTTCTCAGCCTGTCTTCATATGGGAGGTGCTCCAGTCCCCTGATCATTCTCGTGGCCCTCCTCTGGACATGTTCCAACAGATCCATGTCCTTTTTATGTTGAGGACACCAGAACTGTACACAATACTCCAAGTGAGGTCTCAGGAGAGCAGAATAAAGGGGCAGGATCACCTCCTTCGACCTGCTGGTCATGCTCCTTTTGACAAGGCCCAGCCAGTAGGTAACTCAGAGCCATGCAGCCTCTTGCTCACTCCCCCACCTTCTTTCTCCCCCCACTCTTGGAGGGAGGGGGAGGAGAATGGAAAGAATGTAACTTGGACGGATTGAGATAAGAACAGTCCAGTAGCTAAGGTGTAACACAAAACCACTACTGCTACCACCAACAATAATGATGATAAGGGAAATAACAAAGGCAGAGAATGCAATTGCTCACCACCTGCTGACTGATACCCAGCCCAAGAGCAGCAATCCGGGCCTTCCAGGTAACTCCCCCCAGTTTATATACTGGGCATGATGTGCTGTGGTATGGAATATCCCTTTGGCTAGTTCGGGTCAGGTGTCCTGTCTCTCCAGCTTCCTGCGCCCCTCCTCACTGGCAGAGCATGAGACTGAAAAAGCCATTGGTCAGAGTAAACAGTACTTAACACACCAATGTTTTTAGTTGTTGCTATCAGCACTGTTTTAAGGCTAAAGTTGAAAACACAGCACTGCACCAGCTACGGAGAAGGAGAAAAATGGCTGCTACAGCTGAACCCAGGACAGTCATAATTCAGTTTGAACCTGAATTATATAGGCTTGTTTAGGCAAGAATCAATACAACTTAAATTATTCTACTAAATGTAGTTCATTAAAGCATGTGGATAGGGTTTTGAAGTAGCTTTTAGCTAAACAAATTTAAAGTCTGATTTACTGTGAAGTTATATCATTTCTGGTTATAGCTAACGGGCTGAGATCTGAACCTTTTTGATAGCTTAAGTGAAGAGGGTGTAACTACACATGGAATTTCATATGAGTAGAGAAGGAATGTGAAGAACAATTATTGAGCTATGGGAGACCAAGTACAGGAAAAGCAGTCTTATCATTTTTTTTGGTGCACAGGCTCTGACTCATGACTTGGGGATAGAGAAGAGACTGTTGCATTTTTGTGTTCAGAGGCATATAGAAAATATAATCCCTGAGTCCAGATGCCCAGTTATGAAAACAAGGTTTGACAGAACCAAGGAATCCTAAAACTGAATGCTGAATGCTGTTAGGTTTTTGTTCATGTACTTATAAGGGAGTCTTTATGGTATTCCTATGCCAAATGTGAAATACTGCCTGGTAGCAAGATATGACTGGGAGTATTTAGATGCTCCGCAACTTCATGGTGTCAAGCCTTCTTGGGTGTTAGCCTTGTAACAGAGGAACACCTCCCTGCTACAGCCAGAGAAGAATGAGCCCTTGGACTGCAGATCAAGGAATAAGTGTGAAACACTGTGCTCTCTCCACTAAGAGCTGTAATAAGTAACTGCAAGGACTCTATCCACCTACAATGGAAAGAAGCAAAGATACAAGCATGGGAGATGTTTGAAGGAAACAATAGAACCTAGGGACCTCTTGAGGTCATGTAGCCCAGCTTTCTGCTTGGAGCAGGTCTGACTTCAAATTTAGAGCTGCGTTATTCAAAAACCAAATTCTGGTCTTTGTTGTTGTCTTGTGTTTGGAGAAGGAAGTATGTTTCAGATTTATTTAAAAGGGAGCTCCCCTTCTGCAGAGAATTTCATCCAAACTGGTGTTGGATGAAATCTTATTACAAGGATTATTATACTGAAGATTCTAGTATTACTAGCATTTGCTTTCTGCATTCTGTTAGGGAGACCATTGGTTCCAGCAACATGGATGATGTCAGCTTGAAGTTCCATCAGCAGCTTCTGTTCATTGATGAAAGTCTGGTTGCTGAAGATGTAGCAGCTTTAAAATTCCTCTGTACTGACTTTCTCCCCTTCAGAAAACTAGAAAGGGTGAAGTCAGCAGTGGACATCTTTGAGCTTCTCATGGCTAAAGGATATCTGAATGAGAAAGATACTTTCCTGCTAGCTGAACTCTTATACACAATTAAATGTCATTCCTTGCTCAAGAAACTTGGTTATACGAAGGAGAAAGTGCAGGAATGTCTGCATGAGAAGGGAAGAGTGTCTCCTTACAGGTAAGTTTGCAGTGGGATTCTGCTCCCTCCATTACTTCCATCTATGCCACACTTTTCCCTTTCCATTTTTAAATTCTCAGATAGCTTTTAGTTTCTATACCATCTTCTGTTCTGCTTTTATCTTACTGGATCTCTGTTACAGGCAGATGCTATATGAATTGTCAGAGAACATTACCAATGACATGTTGAAGGATATTATATTCCTCCTGAAAAACTGTCTTCCAAAGCGACAGATAACTCTGGTATGTGAAGAGAGACAAATATGTATATGGTGAGAATGGAAGAAGCAGGGGGCAAATAGGAGGAAAAGGATGAAGAGAAAAGTATTTGGTGGAATAGGGCATAATCTGCAGCTAGGCCGCTCAGTATTTATAGGGTTAGCAAGGAGTATTCTCTTGACAGGTAAATATGGAATTTGGTAGTTTGTGCCAAGGTCAGTCACTGACAGTCCACAGATCGTAAAAGGGTGGCAAATCAAATCTTCACCCAACTTGAGCCATGTGCAAAGGAGATTCATGTCTGTATGTCTTTGGTACCATTTCACAGCAATGAAGCCTTCTTAAAGCTGAGAGTCATTAAAATGGTTTGGGTGAATCTGTTTGAACAAGACCATATGAAATAATAACACAGCCAGTAGCTTTCCATGGGACAATATTTTCATCTTCCACAGTGATGTAAAACTGACACTTTGGAAATTGTTCGTAGGAAGCAAAGCAGATACTAGTGTAGGTTTTGAGTTCTAAGGAGCTATAACCATATTCTGTATTTTGTTCTCTCTTTCTGGCTGTCAGTCTGCCCTGGAATTGCTGATTTTATTGGAAAAACAGAGCCTTTTAACTGAGAACAATGTACAGATACTGGAGGAAATCTGTATGCGTGTTTCACCCAATCTCCTGGAAAGAGTAAACTGCTACAAAAGGGCAAAAGGTGAGAAATTCAGAGTCGAGAAGTACATTTACTAGAATGCAGGAAGCACTAGAAGGGCTTGGGCAACTGAACCTCAAGATCCTATGTTTGGATTGCTGGAACAGGAGCTACAGAGGGATCACACATCTTCATGCACAAATTTGCTGTAACAGTCTCTAGCCTATTTTACGTCCTACCTGAATTCCAGCAGGGACATACTGGAATATCTGAGGCCCCATAAAGCAGTCCAGCACATACAGAACAGGCTGGAAAACTGAAAATCTATTTATGGTTCTGTTGGACTTCTCCATTTCCCTATAAATAGTATTGAAATGAGTTAAGAATACACACTACGACAAGGCAGTTGCCTGCTAATAAGACAGTGAAGCAAACTGTGTGCATGTGTATTTGAAGTGGTAGGCTCTGTTATTAAATGTGTAATACGTATTATCAGGGATTATACTGCAGTTTGTAATATTCCTTCATTTAGCATCCTGAAGTGACTATAAGCATACTGGGGAAAATGTTCTATTTATTTAAGCACTGGGAAGCAAGTTCCGGGAAATACAAAGCTACTTGCACCCCAATAGGTGCAACAGCACTGAGCATTTAGTGAGTTCCATTCCCATGTGCTTTCTGAACATGTTTCAAAGTTGCTTTCTATTTTAATATATCTCTCAGTAAGCATTGGTACACATTTGCCTAATGTGCAGATTCATACTGGTTTAACTAGAAGGCACTTCTCTTTTTTTGTCTCTTTCTGCTCTTAGTGTCTCTGCCTCAGCAGGAGAACACTCAGCCCATTGAGGAAATTTCACTGTCTCACACTGGAGACATCAAAGTATCCCCTGTGTCAGAGGTACAGCGCAGTACATATTGCAAGGCTTGTGTTTCAGTGGTTTAAGTGGTTGGGGGGCTTTTTTGCCCTGATTTTGAAACCATACTGGCTGTGGTTTTGCTAAATCTTCTTACTTGGTTTAGGAATTGAAAAAGCATATTTTTTCAGCATGCAAGAAATACAGTTGCATATAGTATAAAATAGTGGAAGCCAAAAATACTATTGGTCATGTGCAGCTGGGTGGGGAAAATGATGTTAGAGATGAGTGAGAGCAAAAGATAGACGAGGCCTTCTAGAGAATGGGTTAGTCAGTTGGTGCTGTGTCATGGTTTAACCCCAGCCAGCAGCTAAGTACCACAAAGCCATTTACTCCCTCCTCTCCCCCTTGCCTTGTGGGATGGGGAGGAGAATCAGAAAAAGGTAAAACCAGCAGGTTGAGATAAGAAGAGCTTAATAATTGAAATAAAGTAAAATAACAATAATAACAGGAAAAAGAGGGAGGAATAAAACCCGAGGAAAAACTACTGATGCACAATACGATTACTCACCACCTGCTGACTGATGCCCAGTCAGTTCATGAACAAGAACTCCCCAAAACAACTCTCCCCATTTTATATATTGAACTTGATGTTCTAAGCTAGGGAATACTCCTTTGGCTGATTCAGGTCAGCTATCCTGGCGGGGCTCCCTCCCAGCTTCTTGTGTCCCATCCCACTGGAAGAGCATGGGAAACTGAGAAGTCCTTGACTTAGGGTCATCATTACTGTTCCCAGTTTCTCAGTGTACCAGTCCTTAATCAGTTAAACCATTCTTGCAGCATGAGGAATCACACTGGGAAACTTAACAGGGCTAGAACTGATCTCTTTTTTTGGGGAAAAGTAGAGGAAAGGAGAGGGTGTCAGTCCAGCTGTGGATGAGGAAAACCAGTGATCTTTCTAAGGATACTTCCCAGCAGTGAAGTAGTAGTAGACAAGAGCTGAGGAAAGCGGGCTATTTCATATTAGAAGGGTTTGCATTACTTCTTCTTTGAGCTGTATTTGCTCTACATGTCCCCAGGGTTTGGGGAAGCCTTCATGCATGGCACTTGGCACAGTAAGAAAATAAACGTAGTTTTATTAAGGAAGCATAGATTTAAAAGAATTTTAAAAGAATAAGTGAGTGTTTCCATAATCCTGATGATTGTGTTTGATTTGTCCCTCAAATGCTGAGAGCTCATACATTTGTTTCCATGCTGTATAATAGACCATTGACACTTTACTGTTAGAAGATGTTTCTACTTAGAACAGTTTATAGAATTCTGTGAAGTCTATATTTTTCTAGAATTCACTATCCAAGAGAATTATCACAGGACCATGTTAGGACCTTTATTTTGTTTATACTGATTGCGTCTACCTAGAGTGAGAGGATCATTTGGAAGTGAAAGAAAATTCTTTGCTGTTTCCCTTTATCTGTCAGAAAAAAGGATAGTTATTTCCAGCTTTGTGAGATTTGCTGTAATTGGGAAGTCTTTTCTAATTTCATTATTAAATGCTTTTCTGTTCTTAGGAATTCAGTATTTTTCCTACTCTCTACTTAAAAAGCTTTGTATTAAGCCTGTTTTGCTAAAATTGCAATGAAAACTTGTTACATATAATAATGATTTTTAACATGATATTCCCCATATTCAAAACACAGGAGACCTCGATCAAGTCTGTCGGTTCTAATATCAAGGGTAAGAATTTCTGAAAGTATGTTTTGTTTTTATTTCTTTGCTTAATGTTGCATCCCTTTACTTTCTCTGGGAAATTTCTAGCATTTGGATAAATGACACACACCCTGCTGTCTTCTTGGAAGGCTGTTTTGCTTCATGCGCATACAGATTTGAAGGATTTCAGTTCTTAGAGAATAGAGGCAAGAGAAAATTGGGAAATGCTTTGTATTTTGCTGGTCACTTACTGGAAACTAATGCCTTTTTTGGAAAGTGAAATAGCGGCTGATCTGATTAGAAGCAAAGAGATTATTTCTTTCCTAAAAACAAAACCCAAGTTTTTTGCTTAAATATCCCTGGGAGGACAAGAGAATGGGACACTCCAATTGTGTATAAGACTGTGATGTTAATTTTTTGGGTGTAGGTCTTCACCTCTAACTTTTTCTGCTGTGTAGACTGTTACTTTGATGAGCTTGGGATTGTCGCATGTTAAAGATGGATGGTTTTGAGCGCATTAACTAGCGTATGAATTGTACAAAAGGAGACAAGCATTTTAGGGCGTTCAGAAGGAGAAGTAAATGAAGCAGCAATAAATAAAATTACATTTTTGCATCAGCTCTCTGAAAGGATTCTGTAAAAAAACAGTGATTTGTTTGCATTCATCTTTGTGGCCCCACATCAACTAGACCAGCCTCAAAGTGTAGCAGTACAGCGTCTGTCAACTCTTATCCTCTTTCAAGCTGTGTGAGTGCAGCCTAGCTGTGAAAGTCAGTCTGAGAGTTGGTATCAGTGATTCGGGAACAAAACAGAACAAAGCAGATCTCTAGTGGGAGCTTCAGTAGTAACACTGCAGATCCTTCTTACAAGACAGTTTATTTCTAAGCTGATTTCCAAATGAAAAATTAATTTGAATGTCTCAGAGTCTGTCCTTATAGCATGGATGCTTTTGTTCCACAAGGCCAATACAAATAGAAACCTTGCCTTTGTCACAAAAATAATATATGTAATAAAAATAACTGGAGACATGTTCAGATTAGGTCCTTTGGACATGATGATGCTATCTTGTATGGAGGAATTATTCCTTTCAATGAAACAGCATTTCAGATACAGAAAAAACAGTATTATAGCTAAACTCATTTTTGTTACATCCACCAATACTGTATTTCTCTTCATGAGTACCTGTGCTGTTTTGGTTTGATGGGTTTGTTTGTTTTTTTTTCTAGATAACAAAGAAGCGTGTCTTACCCAAGGCTTCTCTGAAATAAAGCTGGAGCTGCCTGGAGGACTCAGCAATGCAGAAAATGAATCCGAGGTCTGAGACAATCTCTTCTCTTTTTGAATACCTGGGTGTGTGAGGTCTAGGTGGGTAATGACATTGATCGTGCAAGGACATGTGAGATGTCTGTGTGTCTCATGAAATTTTTGAATTGTCTGGTCAACTGGAATGTTTCAGAGAATATTTTAACCTTGGAGACCAGAAACCTACCAATATTGGAAGGTGTGGTGGAGGCAAAACAGGCATAATACCTTTGACATTATGCATACATTAGTGCACCTGTTTATCCCCCTGCTACAGGCAAAACAGTGCCATTTTCTTAGGTTGTGCATTTTGGAGATGGCAGCAGAATGGGCAAGACAAAAATGTAGCTTCACAGTTCTCTTTCTAAATTGGGCTTTGAAAAAGCTTCAGAGCATCTTGAAATTAAGTCACAAGGGGTAGTATGCAAAGACCTTGTGAGAAGAATAAAAGAAGGCAAGAGTTTTTAGTAAGCTACTGCAGGCTTATAACAATCTTCCTCAGTAAAACATAGGTCTCAGTACAGCAGAAAATACCTCTTTTGTGAGATCTCTTCTTAGAAGCCTTGGGTGCACTTGTTAACCTTGCACAGCAGTGTAACCACTGAATTCTCCCCCTGGCTTTTTTCTCTGGCATGGATATTGAGGAAGCAAGTTGCTGTGGTGGGTTATAGCCATTTAATTTTTGCAGTTCTGTGCTATAAATCATCTTTCATGAACTGCTTTTTAGACTTGTGTAGCAAAGGTACTTGTTGCTGCTGTTGCAGGAGCTTGGAGCGCTACCTTCATTTTGTTCTACTAAAATGCACTAAAGCAGTTGTGCATTGCTTTCTAGTGAGCAGATATGAGCTGGAGTGGTGAAAGTTTTTGATTTCAGTCCGAGGTTGAACTTGAAGAGATGGTGATGGTCACTGAAGTTCTGGTGGCTTTTCACTTTCTAAAATGTTCTTTCTTAAGAGTGGGAAGTGGCTTTTTAAGTCTTAGCAAAACTGGTAGCATAGCAGGCTTATGCACTTGTGAGATCTGTGTTCTGCTTGTATGCCTTTCCATTGGATCAGTGTGAGCCACCACGTCCACGTATTCATGGTTGCTTTTGAAAAAACAACCCAGATGTCTAACGTTGTACAGGTTCATTATGAACCCTCTGCCATCTGAAGTTACAACATTGTCATGACCTTGGAAACAGCTGGGGACTTCTGTCCCCATCACCAGTTCAGATTGTGGAGGTTGGCTGCTGGGTCCTTCCCTTTCCATACAGATGACCAGCCCAACTGCCAAACCCTTCCTCTGCCCTTTGATAGTATGGTGACAGAGTGTGCTCAAGGTTTCACCCATGTCTTTTCACACACGGAGGTATCACTGAGTTACAGCTTTTCAAAAGTAGCGCACAGTCTTAGGTACCTCTAATTTTTGGATGCCAATTTTGAGGCGTATTAAGGAAATAGGAGTAAGTTGAATAAATTCATTGAGGCTGTAAGCTTTTTTTCCTCTCCTTTCTACAGAAGGTGAAAAGCTACAAAATGGATGGACCACACAGAGGATTTTGTCTTGTTATTAATAATGTTAAATTCAATCAGTCTCTTAGTGAAAGGAGGGGTTCTTTCAAAGATGCTGGTAAGTTACTGAAGGGCGATTTTTGGAACTCGAGTCTCTGTTTTGCCATGCGAGTCGATTGTCAAATATTGCTCTTTTTTTTTGTTGTCTGTATTTTAGTTAACATTCTGAAAGAGTAAAATGTTTGATATAAGTTAATTTGTCATTTGTGTATCCTAGGGGAGAAAGGGTTAAAGAAAAGTACAGTTTCTGATGTATTGGATCATTCTTGAATAACTTTGAGGATCTCTTTACTTACCCTTTATCTATAACTGTAATAAAGAACTGAAACTAAAGCCATCGTTCTACATCATATAATGCAAAATTCCATAATCAAGCAACTCTGAGCACTTCTTATTTTATTCTGTTCCTTTATTTATCTATTGTGTATGAAACTCTAATATTAGTTTCACTAAACTGCAACTGGAAGGTAATGATGGGAGGAAGGTTCTGAACGATTTGAACGGAAACTCTGGTGGGGGGACTCCTGATATTTTCCGGTGTCATTTGTGAGCTCACTCAGTATGTCATTATACACTGTAAAATGTCATTATATTTTCTGAAACTTTTCTAGAAAATCCCAGGAACTCTGAGCTGGTGCCATCTTTTTTATTCCAGTTATCCTTTAGTTGATACTAAAGGTTATATATATATATATATATATATATATACCCTTTATATAGCATAAGGGTGAATCTGCAGAAGGCGTAAGGTCTTTCCTGGTTCAGATTAGTTTGCATAGTGACTTTATAAAATTGTTTACTAGTGCCTCAGTTTTTCCTTTTCTCTTTGTTTTAAATTACAGAGGAACTGGAGCGAGTATTCACGTGGCTTGGTCTGGATGTGAGGATTTACACAGATCTGACATCTCAGAAGATTAAAGAACTCATGCAAACTTGGCAGCAGCTGCAAGATCACAAAGACAGGGACTGTTTTATATGTTGTATTCTGTCTCATGGAGAGTCAGGAGCAGTCTATGGGAAAGATGAGGAACTTGTATCGATCCGCACAATCATGTCCTACTTCACTGCAAGACAGTGTCCACAGCTGGCAGAAAAACCCAAACTCTTCTTTATCCAAGCGTGCCAGGGTAAAGAGATACAGTGTGGTGTCCCTGTTAAAACTGATGCACGAATTCCAGACTCATCTTCCATGCAACAGAGCTTTTCTCCTTCTGAAAGTATTCCTGAAGAGGCTGATTTCCTCCTAGGCATGGCCACTATTGATGGATATGTCTCCTTCCGGCATATTCAACAGGGTGCTTGGTACATTCAGGCCCTGTGCAGCAAGCTACAGCTGTTGGTACCAAGGTAAATACTTTTCTTAGCTCTTCCGTGAAGGACTGGGAGGAACTTCCCCCTTCTCTTTAACTCCAAAGGGAAATTCACATAGGAACGCTAACCCATGTTCTGAGGTGGACAGGATTAGTTAAACTGATGAATTGTTTGCTTGCACCGATAAAGTTACATTTGTGGTGTATTGACCCTGGCTGGACACGAGGTGCCTGCCAAAGCCACTCTATCGGTTGTACAGAGGTGAGAAAGTATATTTAGAGGTTTATGAGTTGAGATAAGGACAGGGAGAAATCATTCACGAATTACAGCCACAGGAAAACAGACTCAGCTTAAGTGAAATTAGATCTGATTTATTGCCTATCAGAGCAGAATTGGATACTGAGAAAGGAAACCCGATCTTAATCCCTCTCCCTTCTCCCTGGGTTTACCTTCACTCCTGAATTCTCTACCTCCTGTCCTGCAGCAGTGCAGGGGATGGAGAATGGGGGATGCAGTCAGTTCGTCTCTTTTCTGCTGCTCTTTCTCCCTCAAGTTGACGGCTCATCACAATTTTCCTCTGATCTAATGTGTGGTCCATCCCACAGGAGGCAGTGTCCCACAAGCTTCTCCAATGTGAGTCCTTTCCACTGGCTGCAGTTCTTCAGGAGCTGTTCCAGCATAGGTCCCTTCCATGGGTGCAGTCCTTCAGCAGCAGACTGCCCTCGCGTGGGTCCCCCATGGCATCACAAGTCCTGCCAGCAAACCTGCTCCAGCCTGGGCTCCTCTGAACATGGGTCCACAGGTCCTGCCAGGAGCCTGCTCCAGTGCAGGGTTCCCATGGAAACAGTCTCTGTGGGGCACCCACCTGCTCTGGCATGGGGTCCTCCATGGGCTGCAGGTGGATATCTGCTCTCCCATTAACCTCCATGGGCTGCATGGGCAGAGCCTGCCTCACCAGTCTTCCCCAGGGGCTGCAGGGGAATCTCGGCTCTGGTGCCTGGAGAACCTTCTCCCCTCCTGCACTGATCTTGAAGTCTGCAGAGCTCTTGCTCTCACGTATTCTTGCTGCTTTCTCCAGCTGCAATTGCTGCTGCTCAGCAGCTCTTTCCACTTCTTAAATATGTTCTCATGGAGGTGCTACCACCATTGCAGGTGGGTCTGTCTTGGAGCCAGCTGGCATTGGTTCTGTTGGACACAGGGGAAGCTTCTAGCAGCTTCTCACAGAAGCCACCCTTGTAGCTACTCCTCCCTTCCCACTGCCACGTAAATGCAGTAAAATATTAACCCTGCTAGTGCCATAGAGATAATCTGAGGGATGTGAAGTTTACTATAAAATCCTCTAAACCTCCTATCTTTAAGGCAGAAACATCTGTTTCTTGAGTGGATTTAGGTAAAAATACCTTATTCTGTTATTTTTCTTTACTGGTTAAATCAAGCAAGACAGGAAGAAAAGGTCTTTTGTTTTTCATATGACTCAAGGGGGACCAAAGGGGGAGAAATTTGAAGGAAAGGATCTGGTTTTTGTGTTTTAAATGTTTGTACTGCATCTTCTAGGTGACCTGGGAGGTGTTCAATGGAGTGCCTTTTGCTTGTCAAAAACTGTTTTTCATTTTTGATTTTGCTCTCCTTGTATCTGTAGGGGTGAAGATATTTTGTCGATTCTTACTGAAGTTAATGAAGATGTGGCCAGACGTGTTGACCGCTTAGGCACAAAGAAGCAGATGCCCCTACCAGCATATACCTTAACAAGAAAACTTATATTCCCAATACCTAGAGACCCTCCTCCTTCACAGCAATATGGAGGCTTTTGAAATACATCCTTTTATCAGCACATTTCACTTAAATGCAGTTCACCACATGACCTGTTTTAAGGCAGGTATCCAGAATCCCGAGGGACTGTTAGCTTCAAGGCAAAGGGTCATAATTTTTTTTTTCCATCCTGGGAAACTGGAGGAGATGCAGTTAAAACAATCCATGTGCTAGCTAGTTACATCATCTATATATTCAGTGTTATCAGGGCTGGAGAAGCATGCTTCGGTCTTGTTAAATGTTTTTGTACCTGCAAAGATTACAGACACAAAAGTGTTTTTCCTGACAGCAGGAGGGTTGCAGGTAGCCTTCCGTATCTAGTCCAGGATTGTTAAGAGTCTGGTTTAGGCTCATTGTGATTTAGTTTGCAGGCTGTCAGTTTCAAATCCCACCTTTAAATCCACTAGGTATATTCACAGAGAAAGACAAAGGTGGGAAGGAAGAGGAGAAAGCTAAATTAGTAAGTGGAAAAGGACTTTCATCTTAATTTAAATTATGTTTTACTTAATGGAGAACTAGTTAAGTACTGAGATCAGTAGTTTGTTCCATGATGCACACTGGTAGCGTCTAATGGCTAATTTAAACCTCATGTACCAGGACATCTTTCCAAACCTGATTAAAGCCAAGATGCTGCATAGTATTTCCTCTGCTAAACATTGTTATGAGTATATTATGTATGCCTGTGTCTTTCCTCTTTGTTACTGCATTAAATTCCTACTTCTTTTTGAGAGCTTGGAGAGGTAAAAATAATGTACTGGGGTAATCCTTATCTTTGCTTCAGACTGGCCCCTGCACTTTTGGGCACTGCTTCAGTCTGTGGGTTTTAAATGGCTCATGCTTCAAGCTGAAGTGAAACCTAGTTTATTTCAGCAAAACTCTGGTTGTTATAGATGATCAATAGCCTTAAGTTAGGGTGAAGATTTGAAAGAGGATTGTTTAGTGCTGTTGAATGCAATTTTTAGCTTGCACTCTTCAGGATTTGTAGCAGGGGAGTTTTGCATCACACAGCATTGAAATGCAGACAGTTGCCAAAACATAATGGTCATTTTTTTATCATGATAGTGTGTGACCCATCACATTTTGAGTCTTCTGAGCTGCCACGCTTGAAGTCACATCTGTGCCACAGATAGAAAATGGTTTACCTTTTAGTAGAACTTATAACATACTGTAGTAGAATCACAAAGTTTCTGGCTCAGAATTACTGCTCGTACTTGATGCACTCTTGTATGCGGGTGACAGCGGGAATTTTATCACTACAGAGTAAACATGATAATTTTGACCTTGTTTTGTGGGTTCTTTCATTTTTAACTTTGGTGGACAGAGAACATCATCGTGTTGTCTTGCTTTCTCTGTAGAGTCTTCTGTGTGGGTAATCTCAAGTGTAATTGTATGTAAGTAAAGACAGTTGGAAGAGTCTAAGCTGACTTCTGCTTTGAGTTCCCTGGGGAGAGGGATCCACCACTCATGGAATAGGAAGGACTAATAAAGTCTCCCTCACTGATAAGGTTTTTCAAACACAGTTTACACTACCATGATTTGTATTTACTATTCAGTGTGAATATTTTGGTTGGGTGTGCTGAGGGTTGTGTTTGTATGACTGCACACTGTAATACTTGGGGTGTGCAGCAGTACTCTGTCAGCACAAGCCCAAAGGTTGGGTAAGCTTCTCACTGTAATTGCAGCTGCCATTCAGCAATGTTGTTGGATGTTTCTGCGTGATCTCCTGTGGTGTATTTTAAGGTAGCGGTTTGAAAGTCTTGGGCAAAGTAGGTGGGTTTTATGAAACTTGGATATTAATTGCTCCTTGCTATCCGCAGTATACACCTTTAGTGTTACTGCGTAATGCAGATTATGTAACTGTGTAATCTGTGTAATGTAGAGCTGTGCCAGAAGGAAATCAGCCACAACCAACCAACCAACCAAGCAGAACCGGTTGGTTTTCTTCTCTACAGAAGCATATGTGCTTGTGCATGCTCTCCACCCCCAGAATTAAAGAAGGGTTGTGACTTGTGTGAGCCTTGTTTAGACAGATAAAAGTGGAACTAGTGTAAAAGTCTGCTTGCGAAGTTTGTACCTTGGGTAGATCATGATCTTAAAGTGGGGTTTGTTGCATTTTCAAGTCTCTGGTATCCAGTCCCTCCTGATTCAGTGTTTGTGCAGGAGAATGTCTATCCTGCCTTGTGCCAGTAGAGGCCACAGTCACTACAGTAGTTGAGTAGTCAAGTAGCCTTAGCATTTTGCTTCCTCAAGACCAGCCTTTCTGGGAGAGATGAATTTTTGAGAGGCTGCTTCACAAGGAATAGTTTGGGTCACTGAGACACTTCCAGAGGAAGTTGGAGGGACAACACCTGGATGCAGGAAAGCTGGGGAAAGTTGGAGAGACCAAGTTAACAAAAGGACAGGAACATTTAGGGGAAGGGTGAGAGAGGAAGAAGTGAAACAGAAAGAACACGGAAGAGCAGTGCCGGAAGGGCTGGTCCTTGAAACTGGAGCATGACGGGAGAAACTTACATCTAGAAAGAGCCAACTTGGGCTTGAATTTGTCTGCAAATACTTCTCACAGTGCTGATTCTCAGCATGCTTCATCTTTCAAAGTGAAACTGGAGTCTTGATTCTGTTAAGACAGAGGAACTGATGCAGGGAGAGAGACGCTGAGGCATGCGATGACACGGAAACAGAACCATTTTGGACCTGATGATCACATAGTGCCCCTCTGCACTGCTCCCAGCCTTTGGATAAAAGGATAACTCCTGGAGTGAAATAAGTCACATGTTTTCTGACCTGTTACTAGCACACGCTTTTTGGAAGGAACTTGCACACCTCATCGTTTTGAAGGGTATGTTACAATGTTGAGTTTGTAAAGATGCATGGATGGAAATCAATGAATGATTTGTTTTTCCTTGCAAAATTTTAACAGATTTTGGCTCTCCTAGCTGTCTCTTTTTATAATGCTGACTTCACAAGCCTCAGTGTCTGGTAGCTGTACTGATTGCTAATCCTATATTTTCTGCTGCAAGGAAAATGGAGGTGGCCAGCAGGTCATACTCGGAAGGTTATCATTGGAGGCAGAGTTCTGTACTTCAGAGGGTGAAAATGGCAAAAGTTAATTATTTCCACTTAAATTCACTTTAAATGGGGAAGTATATTATGTCAATAATTTCAAAGGAATGTTTAGCCTTCCAGTTCCCTGTATTCACTGCTGGTGAATTTGGTACTAATAGCTGACTTTTTCATAATTTAGGAAATAATCCTCCAAGAAAGCGCAGCCTGTCCTCCCATGTAAGTGATGTGAAATTATTATTAATAGTAGTATTAGTATTAAACAGTTTACTTGTTGTGTCTTTAATTTAGTAGAGTGGGAGAAAAAGACAGAAAGATAGGCGTGTTAAAAATAGAGTGGATAGGGACTTCAGAGACAGGAGGTAAGTAATGGACTTATTTGTGACAAAGCAGGATAGCAGCAATGGGATACTTTTAAACTGGGAGATAAAACTGATTCACCCTTTGCTCACCATCTTCTAATTAGAATTTAGGTATGGGAGCAAATGTTACTGAGCTATTCTGTATGCTAGAAAGCCCAGGCTATGTCACTTGGTGTGTTCCTCGTGTTTCCATTAAAAATAAATAAATAAATAAAGCTGGTGACTTTTATCTCTTGTTTATACTTTTTTCTCATAAGCACTGTAAAAACTTCCTGAAACTGGAACCATGATAGGTGGAGTAGGAAACTGCTGCATTAACGAGCACTTATTACTTTGTTACAACATACTTTCTGTAAGTCACGTGACAACATGGACCGTAGTACAAACTTCAGTCCTTTTCCTGGAATTCTATAGAGACTTTGGTGCTCTCACTTTTTTCAGAAGTCTTCCACTAGTTCTCCAGCCTGTCCTTCCATGTAAGTGATGTGAAATTATTATTAATAGTAGTATTAGTATTAAACAGTTTGCTTGTTGTGTCTAATTTAGTAGAGTGGGAGAAAAAGACAGAAGCAATTGAACATTGTTTTAGTGTGCTCCCTATATTTACAGACAGCCTTAAACAGAGAGTGTAGGTGTCACATCTGTTCTAATTGCGATCATTCTGTGGGTTTGAAATAGCCTTTGAGAAATAAAAGTGAAACCTCCTTTACCAGACAGACTTACTTTTTATAAGCACATGCCTTGTATCTTAAACAAAAGACATAATTTATGTGAGAAAGAAGATCATTTCATAACTAGGTGCCAAAAAAATATTCTTTTTTCCTGTGTGGATATAGAAATAAAATCATTGAAAATAATACAGTCAGATCTGAGATAACTGAATTATGAGGTTAAGCACGTATGATTCATTCAGGTACTAGTGGTTTTGTGGTGATACAGGCTGAATGGTATGGGTTCTAGTCTGTTCAAAACTTCCGTTTGAATTAACTGAAAGGAAACAGTATCTGGGGGTGGAGCATGAATCACATGTTTTATCACAAGGCATGTTTTACTGTTTTATCAGGTTTTTGATAGACAAAGTTTTAAGATTCAGTTCTATGTTCACTCTTGCCAACAGAATGCTGACCCAAGGGCATACCAGAAAAAGCTGCTTTGCTGCAGAGAGGTCCTTGGAGGAGAGGGTAGTACAATTGTGGGTTGGTTTGGTTTTCTAACAGTAATACTGATTCAGTTGTTCAGCTGGGCTACCTTGGAGTTATTAGCCCTGGTATTGAAACATTTGCACTAACAGTAATTTTAAAATGTCTAACTTTCTGGTAATGTCAGAGCAGGAAGTTTTGATATGCTATTGTCAACTTTTCTGTGTCCCAGTGAGTTCAGTAGGACAAAATGACGGCATTTCCACAGAGCTTCTCTTCTGAGATTCCTGGGTGTCTTCACTCTGAGGCAGAGGGAATAAAGTGGCAAATGGTTTTCTTACTAGAGGGGTAATAGAGGTGGGCCTTTTAAGTGTCAGGTTGAGATAGCTGGAAAGCTTGCACTTGGTATTTTCTGGCTATCTCTTGTGCTTAAGAGTTGAGTCCATAAGCCAAGCTTAATATTTTTGAAGTTGATAGAGGCAGTGGTGGAGAAGGGAGGTCGTATTTGATGCTCAGTGAAACTGAACAAGTTTGATAAGAAATCTCCTGCTTTTTTGAAAGGGTTGACAAGATCTGTATTTTATTTGAGTATTAGAAATCGAGAGCTGTCAACTTAGTTTGATCTGATGCAGATAATCCAAAGCAGGAAGAGGTGCTTTAGTTGTGCTGACCAAGGTCAGACACAGTGCAGAAAGAATATAATAGTAAGCCAGATAGCTTAGAAGACTTACTCATGTTGATTCTTAGGTTTGTTATGATATAAAATCTTTACCTCTGTTATGGGGTAAAACCTGGAAGTCTCTTTTACCACGTACTCTCTATTTGAGACTGGCAAGTGGCTCTTGCTCCCAAACAGGATTAAACCTAAAAAACCCCAAGCAAAACTAAAACAGCAGCTGAGCATCGAACCTATGATAGCAAGCCAGCCTCTCTCCACTGAAGTACTTTTGACTCCATGTTATTATTTTAGGCTATTCTGAATGATGTGATGTCTTTTATAACCATGTGTTGCACTGCTCCTACTGACAAATCAACTTTTGTTTGTGTTTAGATCCAAATCTTGATGTGAAATGGGTACGAACTTCTACAAACTCCTTTTTGACATTTCTGAGGCTTTGGTCACAGATGACCTTGCGGCTATGAAGTTTCTCAGCATGGAGCACATCCCCGTGAGGAAGCTGGAAGCCATCCAGGAGCCCAAGGCCTTCTTGAGAGAGCTGCAGGAGAAAGGCATGATCCAAGAGGGGAACCTGTCCTTCCTGAAGGAGCTGCTCTACCGGATCAGTCGGATCGACCTCCTGGAAACCCTCCTGGGCTCTAGCGGACAGGAGGTGGAGAGGGAGCTTCAGATCCCAGGCAGGGCAAAGGTGTCAGCCTACAGGTAAGTGGAGAAGTATTAAAGCTTTGCATGCAAAACGCACAGCAGTTCTGTTGTGTACCGTCTTGTTTTCTGTCTGCGCTGCTGTTTCATGAATATCCCAGCAGAAGTGTATTTATTGCCACACCACTATGTGCCACTGTGAGTTTTACATTGTGCAGTTCACGTGTGTAATTGTGGTGTTCACTTCTCATAACTTTCATATTTAGGTTTTTTCTATTCCTTATTGCCAGGCAACTGCTATATGGAATTGCAGAGGACTTGTCTCCAGAAGACGTAAAGTGCGTGAAGTTCCTGCTCCGAAAACGAATACCCAACAGCAAACTCCAGGATAATGCTGTATGCAAAGTGCTCTTGCTCAAGTGATCTCGCTAAGTTTCTTGAAAGGCTAGTTCAAGAGTTTGCTAGGTCTTGTAAGAAAGGAAGGAGAAAGCAGTCTGCTCCCTCTAAAGTCTGTTGTTGGAATGACTGTGATGTTAGCTGATAGGAGCTGTGTAAATGAATGGACCCTTTTTTCCTCATTATATTTTTCTCTGCCCTTTTTTGCTTTGTTTCCTTTTTTCCCAGCATCACCTGTCTTCCTGATCTTTTCTTCTTGCAAAATCCATCGTTCTCTTCCATTCTTCTTTTCTTGGCATTTATAAGATGTACATCTGCTGTATCTAGGAAGAATGATGTTTGCTGGAGGAAAAACAATGTTTTGGAGACAGAAAAATCAAGTTTTAATGTGAGTTCAGCTGTAGATTTTTGTGTGTCACTGGGTACATTTGCTTCTCTATTGTAATTTGGGGTAACAGCATTTTGTTAACTCTCCCACAAAAGTATGAAGAGATCTGATGAATTTGTTTAATACCGGTATTGCGAATAATGATCAGTGTTATAAAAATGCAACCTTAGTGATGTTTTTCTTCAGTTGCATTGCATCCCAACCCTTGTGATGAGGTTTGAAGGGGGAAAAAAACCCAGTCTTTAGCTAGTCAGCCTCTGGGAATGATGATGTTATCTTCTTCTTTGTCCAGAAGTGCCTGATGCTGCAGTTAATGAGGGTCACTGTATGAGTTTGGGTTCTGTGTGTTTGTTTTACCAGTCAATGCTGAAGGTCTTACTGGAAATGGAAAGAAAAGCGTTAATTAAAGAAGATGACCTGTCAATGCTGAAAGATATATTAAAGGGATTTAGAGCTGACATCACAAAAAAAGTTGTTACCTTTGAAGAACAAAAAAAAGGTAAATTATTTAACCTGTTGCTTAAGAGTAGAGCGTGTGTCTGTGTCTATGTCTGTGTGTGTGTCTGTGTGTGTGTCTGTGTGTGTCTATGTTTGTGTGTGTGATTTTTGTGGCTTCATCCTTGGCAGCTTCAGAGTCCAGAGGTAAGAGAGAGACCTTACAGTATCCTAGGATGGGCAGAGTGGCTCTTGGTACCTGTGATTTCTGAAGTTTACTGCTACTTAAAGCTATTAGCTAGCGTGTAGCCACTAACTTTCTGTAGTAGATGTGAGATTTCAAAGGCTTAAGTATATCTGGGCTATTGAAGCTGAGATGGTGGCTTCTCGCACCACAAGTGGGTCTTCCCTTTTTGAGAAACAGGATGTGTCAACCTGCAACAGCTGAGACCTACTAAATTTTTCCTCAGAACCACCTTTTGGATGACTCAGGTCACGTGTTTCCTTAGACATATCAATGCAGAGATACCAGCCAGTTTCCCCAGCATGTCTTTGCACTGCTGAGATGTTCTTGTGTCTGTAAAAGAGCAGAAGAAAACTGCCAAGCCCTTTTTCAGGGGAACATATTTTTAGACTTGCTATTATTATTTTGTCCCCCTTGATAAGCAGGAAAAGAATATGTCTTACAGATCTTGATGCCCTGACGATTCAATTCCATTTAAACACATGTGTGTAACTTGTAGAAGGCCAAAAAAATTTGTTTCCTTTGTTTCGAAGTCATTGGTTTGATTTCTTCACTTACTTCAGACACTTGTGTTCAAAGAAGTGTTTTGCTGCTTTAGGAGGTCTTCTGTTATACTGGTGTTCTGCATCTTTGCTGTGTCCACCCAAACAGTAGAGCTGTCTGGAGATGAGACAATGGCATCAGAAGTAAACGCACTAGCTGTAGTGTATCACTGTACAAAAACGCGCCTCCTCTCTTACTTACATATCCCATAATGGAGATGGTAGCAAATGGCATGCCTGAGGTGCTTACTCACATTCAGCCCTTTATTCTCTGGATCTTGCTACTGCTAAAAGAGCAGAGAAGAACACAGCTCTGCAGAGCTGCAATAACCATCAGTCTGTGAAACTGGGACCCTGCTTGGCCCGGCTCTACAAAATGATGGTGTCTCAGCTGTGTGGGAACCATTCTTCAGCTCACTCCTTGTACTGTTTTTTTTTTGAGTGCTGAAATATGCACAGTGGAAGATTTATGGTTTTAGACCTAAAATGTCCTGTTTATCTTCTCCCTTTTAGAAAATGATTGTAAGGAAAAACTCCTCTATCCAGCGCCTGTATCTGTGCATCCAGCAAGGCAAACAGCAGAGAGTGAGACACGACACCTGGTGAGAAATACCTCAAGGTTACGTTTAAAATATTTATCCACTATGCATAAATGAGAGAGTATGGGAAACTGAGAAGTCCTTGACTTACGGTCAGCATTACTATTCCCAGTTTTTCAATGTACCAGTCCTTAATCAGTTAAACCATTCTTGCAGCATGAGGAATCACACTGGGAAACTTAACAGGGCTAGAACTGATCTCTTTTTTGGGGAAAAGGAGAGGAAAGGAGAGGGTGTCAGTCCAGCTGTGGATGAGGAAAACCAGTGATCTTTCTAAGGATACTTCCCAGCAGTGAAGTTGTAGTAGACAAGAGCTGAGGAAAGCGGGCTATTTCATATTAGAAAGGTTTGCATTACTTCTTCTTTGAGCTGTATTTGCTCTACATGTCCCCAGGGTTTGGGGAAGCCTTCATGCATGGCACTTGGCACAGTAAGAAAATAAATGTAGTTTTATTAAGGAAGCATAGATTTAAAAGAATTTAAAAATAATAAGTGAGTGTTTCCATAATCCTGATGACTGTGTTTGATTTGTCCCTCAAATGCTGAGAGCTCATACATTTGTTTCCATGCTGTATAATAGACCATTGACACTTTACTGTTAGAAGATGTTTCTACTTAGAACAGTTTATAGAATTCTGTGAAGTCTATATTTTTCTAGAATTCACTATCCAAGAGAATTATCACAGGACCATGTTGGGACCTTTATTTTGTTTATACTGATTGCGTCTACCTAGAGTGAGAGGATCATTTGGAAGTGAAAGAAAATTCTTTGCTGTTTCCCTTTATCTGTCAGAAAAAAGGATAGTTATTTCCAGCTTTGTGAGATTTGCTGTAATTGGGAAGTCTTTTCTAATTTCATTATTAAATGCTTTTCTCTTCTTAGGAATTCAGTATTTTTCCTACTCTCTACTTAAAAAGCTTTGTATTAAGCCTGTTTTGCTAAAATTGCAATGAAAACTTGTTACATATAATAATGATTTTTAACATGATATTCCCCATATTCAAAACACAGGAGACCTCGATCAAGTCTGTCGGTTCTAATATCAAGGGTAAGAATTTCTGAAAGTATGTTTTGTTTTTATTTCTTTGCTTAATGTTGCATCCCTTTACTTTCTCTGGGAAATTTCTAGCATTTGGATAAATGAAACACACCCTGCTGTCTTCTTGGAAGGCTGTTTTGCTTCATGCGCATACAGATTTGAAGGATTTCAGTTCTTAGAGAATAGAGGCAAGAGAAAATTGGGAAATGCTTTGTATTTTGCCGGTCACTTACTAGAAACTAATGCCTTTTTTGGAAAGTGAAATAGCGGCTGATCTGATTAGAAGCAAAGAGATTATTTCTTTCCTAAAAACAGAACTCAAGTGTTTTCCTTAAATATCCCTGGGAGGACAAGAGAATGGGACACTCCAATTGTGTATAAGACTGTGATGTTAATTTTTTGGGTGCAGGTCTTCACCCCTAAATTTTTCTGCTGTGTAGATTGTTACTTTGATGAGCTTGGGATTGTCGCATGTTAAAGATGGATGGTTTTGAGCGCATTAACTAGCATATGAATTGTACAAAAGGAGACAAGCATTTTAGGGCGTTCAGAAGGAGAAGTAAATGAAGCAGCAATAAATAAAATTACATTTTTGCATCAGCTCTCTGAAAGGATTCTGTAAAAAAACAGTGATTTGTTTGCATTCATCTTTGTGGCCCCACATCAACTAGACCAGCCTCAAAGTGTAGCAGTACAGCGTCTGTCAACTCTTATCCTCTTTCAAGCTGTGTGAGTGCAGCCTAGCTGTGAAAGTCAGTCTGAGAGTTGGTATCAGTGATTCGGGAACAAAACGGAACAAAGCAGATCTCTAGTGGGAGCTTCAGCAGTAACACTGCAGATCCTTCTTACAAGACAGTTTATTTCTAAGCTGATTTCCAAATGAAAAATTAATTTGAATGTCTCAGAGTCTCTCCTTATAGCATGAATGCTTTTGTTCCACAAGGCCAATACAAATAGAAACCTTGCCTTTGTCACAAAAATAATATATGTAATAAAAATAACTGGAGACATGTTCAGATTAAGTCCTTTGGACATGATGATGCTATCTTGTATGGAGGAATTATTCCTTTCAATGAAACAGCATTTCAGATACAAAAAAACAGTATTATAGCTAAACTCATTTTTGTTACATCCACCAATACTGGATTTCTCTTCATGAGTACCTGTGCTGTTTTGGTTTGATGGGTTTGTTTGGTTTTTTCTAGATAACAAAGAAGCGTGTCTTACCCAAGGCTTCTCTGAAATAAAGCTGGTGCTGCGTGGAGGACTCAGCAATGCAGAAAATGAATCCAAGGTCTGAGACAATCTCTTCTCTTTTTGAATACCTGGGTGTGTGAGGTCTAGGTGTGTAATGACATTGATCGTGCAAGGACATGTGAGATGTCTGTGTGTCTCATGAAATTTTTGAATTGTCTGGTCAACTGGAATGTTTCAGAGAATATTTTAACCTTGGAGACCAGAAACTTACCAATATTGGAAGGTGTGGTGGAGGCAAAACAGGCATAATACCTTTGACATTATGCACACATTAGTGCACCTGTTTATCCCCCTGCTACAGGCAAAACAGTGCCATTTTCTTAGGTTGTGCATTTTGGAGATGGCAGCAGAATGGGCAAGACAAAAATGTAGCTTCACAGTTCTCTTTCTAAATTGGGCTTTGAAAAAGCTTCAGAGCATCTTGAAATTAAGTCACAAGGGGTAGTATGCAAAGACCTTGTGAGAAGAATAAAAGAAGGCAAGAGTTTTTAGTAAGCTACTGCAGGCTTATAACAATCTTCCTCAGTAAAACATAGGTCTCAGTACAGCAGAAAATACCTCTTTTGTGAGATCTCTTCTTAGAAGCCTTGGGTGCACTTGTTAACCTTGCACAGCAGTGTAACCACTGAATTCTCCCCCTGGCTTTTTTCTCTGGCATGGATATTGAGGAAGCAAGTTGCTGTGGTGGGTTATAGCCATTTAATTTTTGCAGTTCTGTGCTATAAATCATCTTTCATGAACTGCTTTTTAGACTTGTGTAGCAAAGGTACTTGTTGCTGCTGTTGCAGGAGCTTGGAGCGCTACCTTCATTTTGTTCTACTAAAATGCACTAAAGCAGTTGTGCATTGCTTTCTAGTGAGCAGATATGAGCTGGAGTGGTGAAAGTTTTTGATTTCAGTCCGAGGTTGAACTTGAAGAGATGGTGATGGTCACTGAAGTTCTGGTGGCTTTTCACTTTCTAAAATGTTCTTTCTTAAGAGTGGGAAGTGGCTTTTTAAGTCTTAGCAAAACTGGTAGCATAGCAGGCTTATGCACTTGTGAGATCTGTGTTCTGCTTGTATGCCTTTCCATTGGATCAGTGTGAGCCACCACGTCCACGTATTCATGGTTGCTTTTGAAAAAACAACCCAGATGTCTAACGTTGTACAGGTTCATTATGAACCCTCTGCCATCTGAAGTTACAACATTGTCATGACCTTGGAAACAGCTGGGGACTTCTGTCCCCATCACCAGTTCAGATTGTGGAGGTTGGCTGCTGGGTCCTTCCCTTTCCATACAGATGACCAGCCCAACTGCCAAACCCTTCCTCTGCCCTTTGATAGTATGGTGACAGAGTGTGCTCAAGGTTTCAGCCATGTCTTTTCACACAAGGAGGCATCATTGAATTACAGCTTTTCAAAAGTAGCGCACAGTCTTAGGTACCTCTAATTTTTGGATGCCAATTTTGAGGCGTATTAAGGAAATAGGAGTAAGTTGAATAAATTCATTGAGGCTGTAAGCTTTTTTTCCTCTCCTTTCTACAGAAGGTGAAAAGCTACAAAATGGATGGACCACACAGAGGATTTTGTCTTGTTATTAATAATGTTAAATTCAATCAGTCTCTTAGTGAAAGGAGGGGTTCTTTCAAAGATGCTGGTAAGTTACTGAAGGGCGATTTTTGGAACTCGAGTCTCTGTTTTGCCATGCGAGTCGATTGTCAAATATTGCTCTTTTTTTTTGTTGTCTGTATTTTAGTTAACATTCTGAAAGAGTAAAATGTTTGATATAAGTTAATTTGTCATTTGTGTATCCTAGGGGAGAAAGGGTTAAAGAAAAGTACAGTTTCTGATGTATTGGATCATTCTTGAATAACTTTGAGGATCTCTTTACTTACCCTTTATCTATAACTGTAATAAAGAACTGAAACTAAAGCCATCGTTCTACATCATATAATGCAAAATTCCATAATCAAGCAACTCTGAGCACTTCTTATTTTATTCTGTTCCTTTATTTATCTATTGTGTATGAAACTCTAATATTAGTTTCACTAAACTGCAACTGGAAGGTAATGATGGGAGGAAGGTTCTGAACGATTTGAACGGAAACTCTGGTGGGGGGACTCCTGATATTTTCCGGTGTCATTTGTGAGCTCACTCAGTATGTCATTATACACTGTAAAATGTCATTATATTTTCTGAAACTTTTCTAGAAAATCCCAGGAAATCTGAGCTGATGCCATCTTTTTTTATTCCAGTTAACCTTTAGTTGATACTAAGGTTATATATATATACCCTTTATACAGCATAAGGGTGAATCTGCAGAAGGCGTAAGGTCTTTCCTGGTTCAGATTAGTTTGCATAGTGACTTTATAAAATTGTTTACTAGTGCCTCAGTTTTTCCTTTTCTCTTTGTTTTAAATTACAGAGGAACTGGAGCGAGTATTCACATGGCTTGGTTTGGATGTGAGGATTTACACAGACCTGACATCTCAGAATATTAAAGAACTCATGCAAACTTGGCAGCAGTTGCAAGATCACAAAGACAGGGACTGTTTTATATGTTGTATTCTGTCTCATGGAGAGTCAGGAGCAGTCTATGGGAAAGATGAGGAACTTGTATCGATCCGCACAATCATGTCCTACTTCACTGCAAGACAGTGTCCACAGCTGGCAGAAAAACCCAAACTCTTCTTTATCCAAGCATGCCAGGGTAAAGAGATACAGTGTGGTGTCCCTGTTAAAACTGATGCACGAATTCCAGACTCATCTTCCATGCAACAGAGCTTTTCTCCTTCTGAAAGTATTCCTGAAGAGGCTGATTTCCTCCTAGGCATGGCCACTATTGATGGATATGTCTCCTTCCGGCATATTCAACAGGGTGCTTGGTACATTCAGGCCCTGTGCAGCAAGCTACAGCTGTTGGTACCAAGGTAAATGCTTTGCTTAGCTCTTCCGTGAAGGACTGGGAGGAACTTCCCCCTTCTCTTTAACTCCAAAGGGAAATTCACATAGGAACGCTAACCCATGTTCTGAGGTGGACAGTATTAGTTAAACTGATGAATTGTTTGCTTACACCGATAAAGTTACATTTGAGGTGTATTGACCCTGGCTGGACACGAGGTGCCTGCCAAAGCCACTCTATCGGTTGTACAGAGGTGAGAAAGTATATTTAGAGGTTTATGAGTTGAGATAAGGACAGGGAGAAATCATTCACGAATTACAGCCACAGGAAAACAGACTCAGCTTAAGTGAAATTAGATCTTATTTATTGCCTCTCAGATCAGAATTGGATACTGAGAAAGGAAACCCGATCTTAATCCCTCTCCCTTCTCCCTGGGTTTACCTTCACTCCTGAATTCTCTACCTCCTGTCCTGCAGCAGTGCAGGGGATGGAGAATGGGGGATGCAGTCAGTTCGTCTCTTTTCTGCTGCTCTTTCTCTCTCAAGTTGACGGCTCATCACAATCTTCCTCTGATCTAATGTGTGGTCCATCCCACAGGAGGCAGTGTCCCACAAGCTTCTCCAATGTGAGTCTTTCCCACTGGCTGCAGTTCTTCAGGAGCTGTTCCAGCATAGGTCCCTTCCATGGGTGCTGTCCTTCAGCAGCAGACTGCTCCCGCGTGGGTCCCCCACAGCATCACAAGTCCTGCCAGCAAACCTGCTCCAGCCTGGGCTCCTCTGAACATGGGTCCACAGGTCCTGCCAGGAGCCTGCTCCAGTGCAGGGTTCCCATGGAAACAGTCTCTGTGGGGCACCCACCTGCCCTGGCATGGGGTCCTCCATGGGCTGCAGGTGGATATCTGCTCTCCCATTAACCTCCATGGGCTGCATGGGCACAGCCTGCCTCACCAGTCTTCCCCAGGGGCTGCAGGGGAATCTCGGCTCTGGTGCCTGGAGAACCTTCTCCCCTCCTGCACTGATCTTGAAGTCTGCAGAGCTGTTGCTCTCACGTATTCTTGCTGCTTTCTCCAGCTGCAATTGCTGCTGCTCTGTAGCTCTTTCCACTTCCTAAATATGTTCTCATGGAGGTGTTACCACCATTGCAGGTGGATCTGTCTTGGAGCCAGCTGGCATTGGTTCTGTTGGACACAGGGGAAGCTTCTAGCAGCTTCTCACAGAAGCCACCCTTGTAGCTACTCCTCCCTTCCCAGGGCCACATAAATGCAGTAAAATATTAACCCTGCTAGTGCCATAGAGATAATCTGAGGGATGTGAAGTTTACTATAAAATCCTCTAAACCTCCTATCTTTAAGGCAGAAACATCTGTTTCTTGAGTGGATTTAGGTAAAAATACCTTATTCTGTTATTTTTCTTTACTGGTTAAATCAAGCAAGACAGGAAGAAAAGGTCTTTTGTTTTTCATGTGACTCAAGGGGGACCAAAAGAAGAGAAATTTGAAGGAAAGGATCTGGGTTTTGTGTTTTAAATGTTTGTACTGCATCTTCTAGGTGACCTGGGAGGTGTTCAATGGAGTGCCTTCTGCTTGTCAAAAACTGTTTTTCATTTTTGCTTTTACTCTCCTTGTATCTGTAGGGGTGAAGATATTTTGTCAATTCTTACCGAAGTTAATGAAGATGTGGCCAGACGTGTTGACCGCTTAGGCACAAAGAAGCAGATGCCCCTACCAGCATATACCTTAACAAGAAAACTTATATTCCCAATACCTAGAGACCCTCCTCCTTCACAGCAATGTGGAGGCTTTTGAAATACATCCTTTTATCAGCACATTCCACTTAAATGCAGTTCACCACATGACCTGTTTTAAAGCAGGTATCCAGAATCCCGAGGGACTGTTAGCTTCAAGGCAAAGTGTCATAATTTTTTTCCATCCTGGGAAACTGGAGGAGATGCAGTTAAAACAATCCATGTGCTAGCTAGTTACATCATCTATATATTTAGTGTTATCAGGGCTGGAGAAGCATGCTTCGGTCTTGTTAAATGTTTTTTGTACCTGCAAAGATTACAGATACGAAAGTGTTTATCCTGACAGCAGGAGGGTTGCAGGTAGCCTTCCGTATCTAGTCCAGGATTGTTAAGAGTCTGGTTTAGGCTCATTGTGATTTAGTTTGCAGGCTGTCAGTTTCAAATCCCACCTTTAAATCCACTAGGTATATTCACAGAGAAAGACAAAGGTGGGAAGGAAGAGGAGAAAGCTAAATTAGTAAGTGGAAAAGGACTTTCATCTTAATTTAAATTATGTTTTACTTAATGGAGAACTAGTTAAGTACTGAGATCAGTAGTTTGTTCCATGATGCACACTGGTACCATCTAATGGCTAATTTAAACCTCATGTACCAGGACATCTTTCCAAACCTGATTAAAGCCAAGATGCTGCATAGTATTTCCTCTACTAAACATTGTTATTAGTATTTATTATGTATGCCTGTGTCTTTCCTCTTTGTTACTGCATTAAATTCCTACTTCTTTTTGAGGGCTTGGAGAGGTAAAAATAATGTACTGGGGTAATCCTTATCTTTGCTTCAGACTGGCCCCTGCACTTCTGGGCACTGCTTTAGTCGGTGAGACAAAGGGGCACAAAATCACAAAATGGAATATAGAAACCTTTAGAATTAGTTTTAAGTAATGTTTAGTTTGATGGCTTTGTAGCAGTAGCAATGGAAAATTACTGAAGTGCATGATACATAGAGAAAAAAAAAATAGAGTACACCTAGAGAACATAGTGAGAAGTCTCACAAGATAAATTGTTACAGTTGGCATAGTTTTAAGAAAAACAGTCTAGAAGAGCAGGACACAGGGATAAGGAGTATCTGGGAACGGCAGGTGTCCAGGATGGTCTACAGTTAAACTAACTGGTAAGTAGGAGGATAGGAGGATTATTATGTCTCTGGTGCTAACAAACCAATTAAACTGGTAAGAGCATCTACTGCACGTGCTTCAAAGGCTGCCAGAAATGATGAAGATTGTTGGAAGAAGTAAACGACCCTCAGAGACCACCACCACAATTCTGTACGCATGCAGGGAACTTTCTGGAAAATGATGTAATCTATATGTAGCCTCATGAATATGTATGTATGCCCAGGGGCTATATAAGGATGGCTTGTATAGCAATACAGGGACACACGTTAGGAGGAGCTATGACCCTGTGTCATAGCACCCCTGTGTCTCCTGGCGCCGCAATGAAGAATAACTGCTTGTCAGCTTGAAAACTTTGTTGGCAAGTTTGTTCCTGGAGTTTTCTCTGAATCAGTTTGGCACTGCAGATGGGACCTTCTCTGCTCAGCTGCAGGACCCATTGAGGACAGGGCTCCCTAGGGCCCTTGGGAATTTTTCCCGGAGGGACCCCTCAACTCATTTGGATAGCTGCAGGAGCAGACAAGGACCATCTCATAAAAGGTATGCTTTTATATAGTCTGTGAGGTGCAGGGGGCATCTCGGTTTGGTAAATTGGTTTGGTAAGCATACGCATGGTTTGGAAGCCTTCTGTAAATCGAGATAGGAAATCTCATAGGTAAAGGCGTATACCCGGCTGCTAGCGTCCGTTTGGTATACACCCACAAGAAGCAGGGGGCTTCCTGTGGTTTGGGGTCTGCAAGATGCAGGGGGTGTCTTGCAAAAAGGTTTTGGATTTTACTGGTATACACCCAAAGGAAGCAGGGGACTTCCTGTGGTTTGGGTCCTGCAAGACGCAGGGGGTGTCTTGCAAAAAGGTTTGGATCTTGTTGGTATTTGATTTATTTTGTGGCTTGTTACGTTAAGGATTTTGGTCTTGTGATTTTGGTACTGGTGACAGGATGTTATAACTGTGTTATTAACTGTTGGTTGTTTGGTTGAATTTAAGTCTCTGTCTCAAGTGTTGTAACTGTGGAGCATGTCGGGGGATCCCGTTTGTGTGTGTGTGTGTGTGTGTGTGAATGTGAGATGGATAATGGAAAATCAGCAGAGTGAAGCGATCTTGAAAAATAATCCTTTTGGATGCATTTTGGCACACTGGAAAGAACTTGGAGGGTCTCCTGGGGCTCGGTAAATAAGAAAATATTGGTGAAATATTGTAACCAATGGTGGCCTTTGTATACTTTGGAAGATCAGGAAAAATTGCCTAAAAATGGAACTCTGAACCATAATACACTGTTACAATTAAAGTTGCGTTAAGGGGGCAAGGAAAATGGGATGAAGTAATGTATGCAGATATGTTTTTCACTTTAAGAAATCACATGGAGTGACAGACTGAATGCAAAGTTAATACAGCTCCCCCAGATTCCTTAATTTTGGCTTTGGAAAAGGACAGAGAAAAACTGAAAGTTAAACTGGAGATGCTCAGCCTGTGACATTGGGGAAAGATGTTTAAAGTTAAAAAACAGTAATCAGGAAGATAGGGTGGAAAATCATGTACCACAGGTACCTCCGAGAGGAGCACCCTCTGCATCTGTCCGATCTGATATTGATAAGGAGGAGGAGATCGCTGTCACTGGCAACCAGCGGCAAATCCACATTCAGAGTTAAGAAGGGGTTAAACCAGAAGTGCTGTTGCAGAGGCAGGCATCTGCGGGCCCTGCAGAGCAGGGCGAGCCGCTGTGAGAAAAAGGGGAAAAAAAGGGAAAACCAAGGGGAAAAGGAGGGGACCTCGAACAGCTCCTGTGTTTGAGCGTGGGGGAGTGGGCTCCTCTTCTGTGGGACCGGATCGGTGTGCGTGCTATGGGGAGTTTGGACGCTGGAAGTGAGACTGCCCTGGGGGGGGGTGGGGGGGGGGGGCAGTGCCATGGAGTGGCTCCCGTGACTGAACTGGAACTAAACTGACGGGGACCTGGGGAATCTACCCTAGCAGATCCACTGGTTACATTAAAACTAGGGACTAGAGGAAATAAAGTGGAATTTTAGTGGATACAGCAGCAAATTATTTGGTGTTAAATCAGAGAGAAAAGCATTCGTTACAGATGTGGGAGCTACTGGCCACCAGGAAAAAGAGGAAAAGAAAAAAAAAAGGGCATTCTTTCTGAAACCTTTAAAGTACAAATTGGGAAAACAAATAGGAATTCATAAATTTTTATGCATGCCAAATTGTCTAAAATCTTTATTAGGGTGAGAAGCAACATTTAAAGAAGGCAAAATGGAATTCGGAGTTAAAAACAATCAATTAATTGCAGTTTTGAGTTTAATTCAACAGAAAAGCAAAAAGGAGGACCTCCCTGAAATAGAAGAAATCCTTAATCAGGTGTATGTGGGAGTATGGGCATCTGAAGTTCCAGGTAAGACGAAAAATGCTTTGCCTGTTAAAGTGGAAATAAAAAAGGGGGGCCTACCCAATTAAAATAAAACAGTATCCCTTAAAATTAGAAGATCAAAGGGAATAAAAAAAATCATTGATAAATTTTAAAATATAGATTATTAATTGAATGTGAATTGAAATATAATACTCCTATCTGGACAGTAAAGAAATATGATGGGAAAAGTTGCAGATTGGTTCACGATCTCAGGGCAATCAACAAAATTGCAGAGGATATTCGTCCAGTAGTAGTTAATTCATATGACAGATTGACTAACTTGAATAATAATCGAAATGGTTTGCCTTCCTGGATTTAAAGGACACTTTCTTTTGCTTACCATTGGCCAAAGAAAGCCACAATTATTTGCTTTCGAATGGGAAAATCCTGACACAGGAAGGGAAACTCAATTAACGTGGACAGTATTATCTAAAGGATTTAAAAACAGTCCAGCAATTTTTGGAAATCAGCTAACATGAGAACAAGAATCATGGAAGCCACCTACTCAAACGGGACTCTGTTACAATATGTGGATGACCTATCAATTGCTACAGAAACAAAGGAAGAATGTATCCAGTGGACAGTGGAATTACTAAATTTTCTGGGACTGAATGGTTATCGGGTATCCAGACAAAAGGCCCAACTAATCCAAACCCAAGTTTCCTACCTAGGATATGAAATAACAGGAGGACAGAGAGAACCTGGAACTGCTAGAAAAGAAGCCATTTGCAAGACTCCATGACCGTTGACCGTCAAGGAGCTCTGGACATCCCTGGGAATGACTGGACGGTGCAGACTTTGGATCCATGATTATGATGTTCTGGTAAGACCACTGTATGAACTGTTGAAAGGAAACTCTCCCTCTTTAGAATGGACTGATACAGCAGAGGGGGTTTTTAGAAATTTAAAAACAGAGCTAATGAGAACTGCAGCTCTGTGACTTCTGGATATGACTAAATCCTTTTGGCTATATTTCTGTGAAGAACAGGGAATAGCTTTGGGGGTCCTTGCTCAGAAACGAGGACCCTAGAGAAGGGCAGTGGTGTATTTTTCAAAACAGCTGGATGAAGCGAGCAAAGGATGGCCGGCCCAGATGCCTAAAAGTTATGGCAGCAGTCATCACGAATACTGAAGAGGCTTGCAAATTCACTTTGGGACACAATATTACTGTACTAGTGTCCCATGTGGTATCAGCAGTCCTGGAGCAGAAAGGAGCCCACTGGTTATCTCCTTGATGTTTTTTAAAATACCAGGCTACCATTGTAGAACAGGATGATACAGAAATTGTGGTCACTAACGTCGTGAATCCAGCATCCTTTTGCAGGAAGAGTCGACAGAACCACTAACACACGACTGCTTGACCACCATAGAGACTGTATATTCAGGCCGACCAGACTTGAAAGAAAAACCTCTGGAAGGTGCTGACTCTTGGTTTACTGATGGTAGTAGCTTCATGAAAAATGGTAAATGGAAGGCAGGATATGCTGTTACCACCACTTCACAGGTAAAAGAAGCTAAACCTTTACCTTCAAACACCTCTGCCCAGAAGGCAGAAATAATAACATTAATAAGAGCCCTGGAACTGGCTAAAGATAAAAGGATAAATATTTGGACTGATTCTAAATACGCATTTGGTGTGGTCCATGCACACGGTGCTATCTGGAAAGAATGTGGACCTTTGAACACACAAGGGAAACAGATTAACCACGCTATAGAAATTCTACAATTACTGGAAGCTGTTCAGCTACCTGAAGAATTAGCTATTATGTACTGTAAAGGACATCAACAAGGTGACTCTGATTAGGAAATTGGAAATAATTTGGCTGATTTTGAAGGTACCTCTAATTTTTGGATGCCAATTTTGAGGCGTATTAAGGAAATAGGAGTAAGTTGAATAAATTCATTGAGGCTGTAAGCTTTTTTTCCACTCCTTTCTACAGAAGATGAAAAGCTACAAAATGGATGGACCACACAGAGGATTTTGTCTTGTTATTAATAACGTTAAATTCAATCAGTCTCTTAGTGAAAGGAGGGGTTCCTTCAAAGATGCTGGTAAGTTACTGAAGGGCGATTTTTGGAACACGAGTCTTTGTTTTGCCATGCGAGTCAATTGTCAAATATTGCTCTTTTTTTTTATTGTCTGTATTTTAGTTAACATTCTGAAAGAGTAAAATGTTTGAGATAAGTTAATTTGTCATTTGTGTATCCTAGGGGAGAAAGGGTTAAAGGAAAAGTACAGTTTCTGATGTATTGGATCATTCTTGAACAACTTTGAGAATCTCTTTACTTACCCTTTATCTATAACTGTAATAAAGAACTGAAACTAAAGCCATCGTTCTACATTATATAATGCAAAATTCCATAATCAAGCAACTCTGAGCACTTCTTATTTTATTCTGTTCCTTTATTTATCTATTGTGTATGAAACTCTAATATTAGTTTCACTAAACTGCAACTGGAAAGTAATGATGGGAGGAAGGTTCTGAACGATTTGAACGGAAACTCTGGTGGGGGGACTCCTGATATTTTCCGGTGTCATTTGTGAGCTCACTCAGTATGTCATTATACACTGTAAAATGTCATTATATTTTCTGAAACTTTTCTAGAAAATCCCAGGAACTCTGAGCTGGTGCCATCTTTTTTATTCCAGTTATCCTTTAGTTGATACTAAAGGTTATATATATATATATATATATATATATACCCTTTATATAGCATAAGGGTGAATCTGCAGAAGGCGTAAGGTCTTTCCTGGTTCAGATTAGTTTGCATAGTGACTTTATAAAATTGTTTACTAGTGCCTCAGTTTTTCCTTTTCTCTTTGTTTTAAATTACAGAGGAACTGGAGCGAGTATTCACGTGGCTTGGTCTGGATGTGAGGATTTACACAGATCTGACATCTCAGAAGATTAAAGAACTCATGCAAACTTGGCAGCAGCTGCAAGATCACAAAGACAGGGACTGTTTTATATGTTGTATTCTGTCTCATGGAGAGTCAGGAGCAGTCTATGGGAAAGATGAGGAACTTGTATCGATCCGCACAATCATGTCCTACTTCACTGCAAGACAGTGTCCACAGCTGGCAGAAAAACCCAAACTCTTCTTTATCCAAGCGTGCCAGGGTAAAGAGATACAGTGTGGTGTCCCTGTTAAAACTGATGCACGAATTCCAGACTCATCTTCCATGCAACAGAGCTTTTCTCCTTCTGAAAGTATTCCTGAAGAGGCTGATTTCCTCCTAGGCATGGCCACTATTGATGGATATGTCTCCTTCCGGCATATTCAACAGGGTGCTTGGTACATTCAGGCCCTGTGCAGCAAGCTACAGCTGTTGGTACCAAGGTAAATACTTTTCTTAGCTCTTCCGTGAAGGACTGGGAGGAACTTCCCCCTTCTCTTTAACTCCAAAGGGAAATTCACATAGGAACGCTAACCCATGTTCTGAGGTGGACAGTATTAGTTAAACTGATGATTTGTTTGCTTGCACCGCTAAAGTTACATTTGTGGTGGATTGACCCTGGCTGGACACGAGGTGCCTGCCAAAGCCACTCTATCGGTTGTACAGAGGTGAGAAAGTATATTTAGAGGTTTATGAGTTCAGATAAGGACAGGGAGAAATCGTTCACAAATTACAGCCACAGGAAAACAGACTCAGCTTAAGTGAAATTAGATCTGATTTATTGCCTCTCAGAGCAGAATTGGATACTGAGAAAGGAAACCTGATCTTAATCCCTCCCCTCTCCCTTCTCCCTGGGTTTACCTTCACTCCTGAATTCTCTACCTCCTGTCCTGCAGCAGTGCAGGGGATGGAGAATGGGCAATGCAGTCAGTTCGTCTTTTTTTTCTTTTTGAGAGCTTGGAGAGGTGAAAATAATGTACTGGGGTAATCCTTCGTTTCAGACTGGCCCCTGCACTTCTGGGCACTGCTTCAGTCGGTGGGTTTTAAATAGCTCATGCTTCAAGCTGAAGTGAAACTTAGTTTATTTCAGCAAAACTCTGGTTGTTACAGATGATTAAAAGCCTTAAGTTAGGGTGAAGATTTGAAAGAGGACTATTTAGTGCTGTTGAATGCAATTTTTAGCTTGCACTCTTCAGGATTTGTACCAGGGGAGTTTTGCATCACACAGCATTGAAATGCAGAGAGTTGCCAAAACATAATGGTCTTTTTTTTATCATGATAGTGTGTGACCCATCATATTTTGAGTCTTCTGACCTGCCATGCTTGAAGTCACATCTGTGCCACAGGTAGAAAATGGTTTACCTTTTAGTAGAATTTATAATATACTGTAGTAGAATCACAAAGTTTCTCCTTGCGAAGTTTGTACCTTGGGTAGATCTTGATCTTAAAGTGGGGTTTGTTACATTTTCAAGTCTCTGGTATCCAGTCCCTCCTGACTCAGTGTTTGTGCAGGAGAATGTCTATCCTGCCTTGTGCCAGTAGAGGCCAGTCACTACAGTAGTTGAGTAGTCAAGTAGCCTTAGCATTTTCCTTCCTCAAGACCAGCCTTACTGGGAGAGATGAATTTTTGAGAGGCTGCTTCACAAGGAATAGTTTGGGTCACTGAGACACTTCCAGAGGAAGTTGGAGGGACAACACCTGGATGCAGGAAAGCTGGGGAAAGTTGGAGAGACCAAGTTAACAAAAGGACAGGAACATTTTGGGGAAGGGTGAGAGAGGAAGAAGTGAAACAGAAAAGAGAACATGGAAGAGCAGTGCCGGAAGGGCTGGTCCTTGAAACTGGAGCATGACGGGAGAAACTTACATCTAGAAAGAGCCAACTTGGGCTTGGTTTTGTCTGCAAATACTTCTCACAGTGCTGATTCTCAGCATGCTTCATCTTTCAAAGTGAAACTGGAGTCTTGATTCGGTTAAGACAGAGGAACTGATGCAGGGAGAGAGACGCTGAGGCATGCGATGACACAGAAACAGAACCATTTTGGACCTGAAGATCACATAGTCCCCCTCTGCACTGCTCCCAGCCTTTGGATAAAAGGATAACTCCTGGAGTGAAATAAGTCACATGTTTTCTGACCTGTTACTAGCACACGCTTTTTGGAAGGAACTTGCACACCTCATCGTTTTGAAGGGTATGTTACAATGTTGAGTTTGTAAAGATGCATGGATGGAAATCAATGAATGATTTGTTTTTCCTTGCAAAATTTTAACAGATTTTGGCTCTCCTAGCTGTCTCTTTTTATAATGCTGACTTCACAAGCCTCAGTGTCTGGTAGCTGTACTGATTGCTAATCCTATATTTTCTGCTGCAAGGAAAATGGAGGTGGCCAGCAGGTCATACTCGGAAGCTTATCATTGGAGGCAGAGTTCTGTACTTCAGAGGGTGAAAATGGCAAAAGTTAATTATTTCCACTTAAATTCACTTTAAATGGGGAAGTATATTATGTCAATAATTTCAAAGGAATGTTTAGCCTTCCAGTTCCCTGTATTCACTGCTGGTGAATTTGGTACTAATAGCTGACTTTTTCATAATTTAGGAAATAATCCTCCAAGAAAGCGCAGCCTGTCCTCCCATGTAAGTGTTGTGAAATTATTATTAATAGTAGTATTAGTATTAAACAGTTTACTTGTTGTGTCTTTAATTTAGCAGAGTGGGAGAAAAAGACAGAAGCAATTGAACATTGTTTTAGTGTGATCCCTGTATTTACAGACAGCCTTAAACAGAGAGTGTAGGTGTCACATCTGTTCTAATTGCGATCATTCTGTGGGTTTGAAACAGTCTTTAAAAAATAAAAGTGATAACTCTCTTTACCACTTTCTTTTTATAAGCACATGCCTTGTATCTTAAACAAAACACATAATTTATGTGAGAAAGAAGATCATTTCATAACTAGGTGCCAAAATGTATTCTTTTTTCCTGTGTGGATATAGAAATAGAATCATAGAAAATAATACAGTCAGATCTGAGATAATTGAATTACGAGGTTAAGCACGTATGATTCATTCAGGTACTAGTGGTTTTGTGGTGATACAGACTGAATGGTATGGATTCTAGTTGTTTAAAACTTCAGTTTGAATGAACTGAAAGGAAACAGTATTTTGGGGCGGAGTATGAATCACGTTTTATCGTAAGACAAATGTTTTGCTATTTTATCAGGTTTTCGATAGACAAAGTTTTAAGATTCAGTTCTATGTTCACTCTTGCTAACAAAATGCTAACCTGTATTTTATTTGAATATTAGAAATTGAGAGCTGTCAACTTAGTTTGATTTGATGCAGATAATCCAAAGCAGGAAGTGGTGCCTTAGCTGTGCTGTCCAAGGTCAGACACAGTGTGGAAAGAAAGGAGAAGCCAGATAGCTTAGAAGACTTACTCATGTTGATTCTTAGGTTTGTTATGATATAAAATCTTTACCTCTGTTATAGAGTAAAACCTGGAAGTCTCTTTTACCTCATACTCTCTATTTGAGACTGGCAAGTGGCTCTTGCTCCCAAACAGGATCAAACCTAAAAAAAACCCAAGCAAAACTAAAACAGCAGCTAAGCATTGAAGCTATGATAGCAAGCCAGCCTCTCTCCACTGAAGTACTTTTGACTCCATGTTGTTATTTTTGGCTATTCTGAATGATGTGATATCTTTTATAACCATGTGTTGCACTGCTCCTACTGACAAATCAACTTCTGTTTGTTTTTAGATCCAAATCTTGATGTGAAATGGGTACAAACTTCTACAAACTCCTTTTTGACATTTCTGAGGCTTTGGTCACAGATGACCTTGCGGCCATGAAGTTTCTCAGCATGGAGCACATCCCCGTGAGGAAGCTGGAAGCCATCCAGGAGCCCAAGGCCTTCTTGAGAGAGCTGCAGGAGAAAGGCATGATACAAGAGGGGAACCTGTCCTTCCTGAAGGAGCTGCTCTACCGGATCAGTCGGATCGACCTCCTGGAAACCCTCCTGGGCTCTAGTGGACAGGAGGTGGAGAGGGAGCTTCAGATCCCAGGCAGGGCAAAGGTGTCAGCCTACAGGTAAGTGGAGAAGTATTAAAGTTTTGCATGCAAAACGCACAGCAGTTCTGTTGTGTACTGTCTTGTTTTCTGTCTGCGCTGCTGTTTTATGAATATCCCAGCAGAAGTGTATTTATTGCCACACCACTATGTGCCATTGTGAGTTTTACATTGTGCAGTTCACGTGTGTAATTGTGGTGTTCACCTCTCATAACTTTCATATTTAGACTTTTTCTATTCCTTATTGCCAGGCAACTGCTATATGGAATTGCAGAGGACTTGTCTCCAGAAGACGTAAAGTGCGTGAAGTTCCTGCTCCGAAAACGAATACCCAACAGCAAACTCCAGGATAATGCTGTATGCATAGTGTTCTTGCTCAAGTGATCTCACTAAGTTTCTTGAAAGGCTAGTTCAAGAGTTTGCTAGGTCTTGTAAGAAAGGAAGGAGAAAGCAGTCTGCTCCCTCTAAAGTCTGTTGTTGGAACAACTGTGATGATAGCTGATAGGAGCTGTGTAAATGAATGGACCCTTTTTTCCTCATTATATTTTTCTCTGCCCTTTTTTGCTTTGTTTCCTTTTTTCCTAGCATCACCTGTCTTCCTGATCTTTTCTTCTTGCAAAATCCATCGTTCTCTTCCATTCTTCTTTTCTTGGCATTTATAAGATGTACATCTGCTGTATCTAGGAAGAATGATGTTTGCTGGAGGAAAAACAATGTTTTGGAGACAGAAAAATCAAGTTTTAATGTGAGTTCAGCTGTAGATTTTTGTGTGTCACTGGGTACATTTGCTTTTCTATTGTAATTTGGGGTAACAGCATTTTGTTAACTCCCCCACAAAAGTATGAAGAGATCTGATGACTTTGTTTAATACCGGTATTGCAAATAATGATCAGTGTTATAAAAATGCAACCTTAGTGATGTTTTTCTTCAGTTGCATTGCATCCCAACCCTTGTGATGAGGTTTGAAGGGGGAAAAAAAAACAGTCTTTAGCTAGTCAGCCTCTGGGAATGATGATGTTATCTTCTTCTTTGTCCAGAAGTGCCTGATACTGCAGTTAATGACGGTCGCTGTATGAGTTTGGGTTCTGTGTGTTTGTTTTACCAGTCAATGCTGAAGGTCTTACTGGAAATGGAAAGAAAAGCGTTAATTAAAGAAGATGACCTGTCAATGCTGAAAGATATATTAAAGGGATTTAGAGCTGACATCACAAAAAAAGTTGTTACCTTTGAAGAACAAAAAAAAGGTAAATTATTTAACCTGTTGCTTAAGAGTAGAGCGCGTATGTGTGTCTGTGTGTGTCTGTGTGTGTCTATGTTTGTGTGTGTCATTTTTGTGGCTTCATCCTTGGCAGCTTCAGAGTCCAGAAGGTAAGAGAGAGACCTTACAGTATCCTAGGATGGGCAGAGTGGCTCTTGGTACCTGTGATTTCTGAAGTTTACTGCTACTTAAAGCTATTAGCTAGCGTGTAGCCATTAACTTTCTGTAGTAGATGTGAGATCTCAAAGGCTTAAGTATATCTGGGCTATTGAAGCTGAGATGGTGGCTTCTCACACCACAAGTGGGTCTTCCCTTTTTGAGAAACAGGATGTGTCAACCTACAACAGCTGAGACCTACTAAATTTTTCCTCAGAACCACCTTTTGGATGACTCAGGTCACGTGTTTCCTTAGACATATCAATGCAGAGATACCAGCCAGTTTCCCCAGCATGTCTTTGCACTGCTGAGATGTTCTTGTGTCTGTAAAAGAGCAGAAGAAAACTGCCAAGCCCTTTTTCAGGGGAACATATTTTTAGACTTGCTATTATTATTTTGTCCCCCTTGATAAGCAGGAAAAGAACATGTCTTACAGAGCTTGATGCCCTGACGATTCAATTCCATTTAAACACATGTGTGTAACTTGTAGAAGGCCAAAAAAATTTGTTTCCTTTGTTTCAAAGTCATTGGTTTGATTTCTTCACTTACTTCAGACACTTGTGTTCAAAGAAGTGTTTTGCTGCTTTAGGAGGTCTTCTGTTATACTGGTGTTCTGCATCTTTGCTGTGTCCACCCAAACAGTAGAGCTGTCTGGAGACGAGACAATGGCATCAGAAGTAAACGCACTAGGTGTAGTGTATCACTGTACAAAAACGCGCCTCCTCTCTTACTTACATATCCCATAATGGAGATGGTAGCAAATGGCATGCCTGAGGTGCTTACTCACATTCAGCCCTTTATTCTCTGGATCTTGCTACCGCTAAAAGAGCAGAGAAGAACACAGCTCTGCAGAGCTGCAATAACCATCAGTCTGTGAAACTGGGACCCTGCTTGGCCTGGCTGTACAAAATGATGGTGTCTCAGCTGTGTGGGAACCATTCTTCAGCTCACTCCTTGTACTATTTTTTCTTTGAGTGCTGAAATATGCACAGTGGAAGATTTATGGTTTTAGACCTAAAATGTCCTGTTTATCTTCTCCCTTTTAGAAAATGATTGTAAGGAAAAACTCCTCTATCCAGCGCCTGTATCTGTGCATCCAGCAAGGCAAACAGCAGAGAGTGAGACACGACACCTGGTGAGAAATACCTCAAGGTTACGTTTAAAATATTTATCCAAGTTCTGGGAGGGGGGACTAGAAATTCTTAACACTGAGCAAGTGGAAGCGCTGAAAGCTAGGGATTCTGGCTTTATATGTAGGTCTTGTAACAATTCCTCATTTCAAAACAAGACCAACCCTTGTTCCTTATTGAGGACCTTACTTTCAGCAATCTTTCATGCAAGAAATGAAGGAGTAGCTGTTGTGTGAAGAAAACTGAGCTTAAGAATAATGGAGACTGGGACACTGAAGTCCTGCTCAGGATACTCTTGGACAGATGGGAAGGGAACAACAGAATCTGCTACCTCACTAAAAACCCACCAGGGCTCTCAGAGGGAATGGTAAGGTGCAGGAACTTTTCCTCTGCACATGTAAACTTATCTTTCTGGATACTTGCTTTCTCCCATGCCAAGATCATATCCCAACCACAGAGTGAAAGGAGAGGGAGGATTCAGAAAGACAAAGCAGATTTCTCTCTCCTGTAGCTAGCTTTTATTTTTAGGCTTTTCTTTTCTTGTATTTTGGCCCTCATGAATTTTTTTGCACTTGGACACGAAGAGCCAACAATCTATGTGTAGCATATTTCTCTTTTGGATGCTTGGCTCTGCTTTCTTATCTGCTTTCTTTGTTTCTACAGTCTGTGGAATCATATAAAATGAAAAATAACCCTCATGGTTACTGTGTGATTCTTAACAACTACATTTTTCAAAATGCGTGTCAAATCAGACAAGGAACAATTGAAGATGGAGGTAAATACTTTTTTAATCCAGCTACTGGCTTGTTTGGTTTTCTCCTCTGATAGTTCTCTGACAGAGTTGTCTAAGCTTGCCTGTGAAGAAGAATCATGTCCGCTGAGTTCCTTTGCCTCCAGAGTAACTGGAGTGACAGTCACTATAGAAATCAGAAATGTGCCACTTCCAACAGTTCAGCTGATGGCTTAAAAGAAGGAACTGTTTTCTGTTCTAGATAAGAAGAGTCATCCAAATAGTGAAGGAGGCATTACTATTCTGCCTTTTCACCTTTTGGTTGTTTTTTAATTCTTAGTTATTATGGAGTTAAGTTTTTAAGTCCTTAAATTCTCTTTAATGCTCAAATGCTACCGCTTTATAATTTTCTTTAAAGCCTGTCTTCTTGCAAGAGTCACTTCTAAAATAAGCAGAAGTTTATCTTAAAGTAAAATCTGTTTCATGAAAGCACACATCACTGGTATTTGAACTCCATCCAGCCTGTCTACAAACTGCTTGCTTCCCAGCTACTTTCTCACTACCCACACAACCATTCAGCCAAATTTGATGATAAGTGTACATAGCATTTGTTAGATGGTTACTCTCCCTTCCTTCTTGCTGCATTGATCATTCTCACAGGATGAGGGACCTACTTCACTTAAGATTGTACAGTTTGTCATTCTAAAGAGTTACCTCTTTAACTTGCTAGGTGTTGTTCTTAAGCATCTGAGATTATTAGGCAATGCACAGTTAAAGCTTGCTTTAAGATTGTAAACTTTACTAGTTTTTGCCAGTTAGATAATCTGAAACCTGGGGGGGGGGGGGGGGGGGGTGTTAGATAGTGTGATGCTTAACCCGGTTGTGTTAAAAAACAGGCATTTGGGTTTTTCTAATCAGATTTGGCACGCTAAGAGTCAGGTGAGTTTATTGCTGGGATCTGAACACCTGCTAATATCTGATTATCACACAAACACTGATGTTTCAGCATTTTCATTGTCACTGTTTAACAAGTGCCTTTTGGCTTTTTTTCTTAGAGGCTGTGAAGAGGGTCTTTGAGTGGCTTCGGTTTGAGACAGTTGAGCACATGGATCTAGAAGCAAAGCAAATATATGAGAAAGTTAAAACATACAGTGAAAAGGATCATAGTCACATGGACTGTTTCGCTTGCTTCATTTTTTCCCATGGTGAAAAAGACAAAATAAAAGGCGTTGATGATCAGTTTGTAAATATTAAAGATTTAGTCTCCTGCTTCAGTGGATCCAATTGCCCTTCTCTTGCTGGCAAACCCAAGCTGTTTTTCATCCAGGCTTGCCAAGGCTCTGTCGATCACCCACCTGTCACAGTAAAAGAAGACTTTTATGGCCATCTTGAGATGGATGCTACCCCTCTGATTTCCATTCCTGATGAGGCTGATATTTTGGTTGGCATGGCTACGGTGGAACACTACAAGTGCTATCGCTGTACAAACACTGGAAGTGTTTATATACAATGCCTCTGTGAAAAGATGAAGTTGCTTTGCCCACAGTAAGTACTGTTTTTAAGTCATGTACATTTGGGGTGCTGCAGGCATACATTCATAAGCATGCTGTGCTGAAACAACGGTGTTTTGCATTTGTGCTATAAAATGCTTTTCACCTGCAGCAATTGTTCTGGAACTAGGCATTGCTATTCTTCTAGAGATGAACCAAAGCATAAGTGAATTCCCCGAGTTTGCCTGTGAAAGAATCCGGGGTGTAATGCTGGAACACTGCCTATAGACAAGTGTGTGTATGTGTGTGCATGTGTTTTAATATTTTTTGACTGATAAATGATTTTTCTTCCAGTGAAACCTGATGGGAGGCAAATTTGTTGAGTGATTACACAGATGAAAAAAAAATCAGTGTTCTTTAGTCATAACTTTCATTGTTGCCTCCCTCCTGTCCCCATCAGAAACTCAACTCAGAAAATAGAATTTCTCTTCAGACATCACTTTCTCCAGAAGAGGGCATGTAGAATTTAGTAGAATGCATAGGTCTGAGTCTGTCTCACCTTCGTGTGCTCTTCTGCTGTAAGCAAAGCAGGGGACTGTATTTGCTGGTAAAGCAATGCTACATGGAGGACACTTTTATTCCCCCAAACACACTGAAATCAGTGGTTACATATAAGAGTGTGCAGTTTCAGGATAGGCAGGGTGAGAGGAAAATATTAGCCTTCCCTGAGATAGCATTTTATTGGACCAAACATAGATCAGCCTCTTGGCTTAGCTGCAAGTATCGTGTATCTCAGTGTAATGTTTCTTCATTTTTGTTCAAGTGGCAAGGATCTCCTCACCATCCTGACAGAAGTGAGCAAGGAAGTGGGAAGAAAAGATTTAAATGGATGGAAGCAGATGCCAAAGATAACATCAACCCTACGGAAGCAATTGATCTTCCAAATTCCATAATGTCAGTCAGTCAAAATGGAGAAAAATAAGAATACCCTTGGTTAGGAATCACACCTGAAATGGGCTTTCACGGGGAAAGGAATTTGCAAGTGAAATTATCCTGATTTGGATATTTGGCCCCAGTCATTCAAGGGGCCATTGGATCTAAATTTTCTGATTCCCACGTTTCATCAGTCTCCTGAAACCTGGATCTGCAGCAAGCCTGGGAAGGCTCCAGAGGAGTACAGATCTGACTTTCTGTCCTGCATAGCACTGGGGTCTGTTCAATCTGCACTTCAAGGGAGGAAGCACCTGCAAGTGTAATGATTTTTTTTTTAGGAGTTATTAGATGCAACAGAAGTCCTATTTCTGTCCAAGTTTTTATAAGTCCCTGAAATCTGCAGAAAAGAACAGATGGATTCAGAATGCTGATCCCTTCCCAGGAAGCATGTGCAAGATTGTAACTGACTTAGCCACAGGTGAATCATTGGCTGTCTCTGGAGGCTGTGTAATTTTTCATGGAAAATAACATGCTTGTGCAGAAGGACCAAAGAAAGAAGAGATGATTATGATAATACAAGTTTGGTTATTTTTCCTCCAAATATTTGGGTTCCCTTGGTTTTAATTTACTTGGCTAAACAGCACTGCTGGTTAGGTTTTTTAATAATAAGAGTTCTTGACTGTGTTTTCTGTCAGAGCTCTGAGGTGACAGTCAGTTCTGAATAGCTCTTAACTTCTGGAAGGAAGGTCCCACTCCACTACAGAATTACAGAATCACAGAATAGTCTGGGTTGGAAGTGACCTAAGAAGAAAGGTCACCTAAATCAGCAAGCAGGGACATCTTCAACTAGACCAGGTTGCCCAGAACCACATCCAGCCTGACCTTGAATGTCTCCAGGGATGGTGCATCCACCACCTCTCTGGGCAACCCGTGCCAGTGTTTTACTACCCTCATTGTAAAGAATTTCTTTCTCACATCCAGCCTGAATCTCCCCTTTTTTAGTTTAAAACCATTACCCCTCATCCTATTGCAGCAGGCCCTGCTAAAGCGTCTCGCCCCATCTTTCTTATAGCCTCCTATTAAGTACTCAAAGGCCACAATAAGGTCTCCCTGAAATCTTCTCAAGGCTAAACTACCCCACCTCTCTCAGCCTTTCCTCATAGGAGAGTTGCTCCAGCCCTCTGTTCATTTTTGTGTCTCTTCTCTGGACCCTCTCCAATAGGTCTTGTACTGAGGACTTCAGAGTAGGATGCAGTACTCCAGGTGGGGTGTCACCAGAGCAGAGCAGCAGAATTAGGTCCACTGCTCTGAGATGCCTTCTCCCCCTGGCAACTGACTCTAGCTTCTGTGGACTGTTGTTTCTGTCGTAATAAATACTGTCGGTTTTCACATCGCCTTTGTTTGTGGTGTGTTTCCCTTTTGGATGAGCTGACTTCTATGTCAGCAGAAGTATTTATTTTGCTTATGTTGAAGTATTTGATGGCAGCCACCCCAAGGGGTAGTATATTGATATCCCTTCATTAGCAGCTGGAAAGATGGTCAGAAAGAATAAGTTTAAGTTCAGCACCTTCTAATAATGGCAGCTGATGCCAGTGAGGCTACTCTCATCTTGCACATGTGTGTGAGAGCTGTATGGGATTCTAATGGCTGTGATCCTTTTGAGCTTGTAACATGATAAAGGATGATTGGAGACACTTTGTAATTCCTGCCTTTTTTTTTTTTTTTGGCTTTTTATTTTTTTTAAATCTATGTGTACCCATAAAGCAGGAGTTTTTGTTCAATCCTGCTTCTGTTCTTGAGGTGAAACTGTTTTTTTCTTAATTCCACACAATGTGTTGGCAGTTGCATTTTGCTCCCCTTATCCCTTCTCATCTTCCAAGTAAAAGGGAGAATGCCTATTCTTCAATCACAGCTCTGTTCACACAGGTTTATCTATGTAAAAGAGAATGCCATTTGTGGCAAGAGTTAGCAGAAGTTGTTGCCAGGTATGATACAGTTCTGTGGCTGACGTTTGGTTAACCATTTAGGAAATGTGACAACAATTCATTTACATTTTTGTAACATTTTCATAAATGAGACCTTGATATGAAGTTAGCAATTAGATTCGTAAATGTTGTTTTATGATAAGGAAATACAGCTTAAACGAAACAACTGTTTTTCCTTTAGGAGAAACTTACTGGAACATGACAGCTGCTCCAGTAGTGGAGTTGTGAATCTACAGCATTTCTGTTTTTTCCTATTTCTCTGTTTAAGAGTTCCGGGCTCTCAGACCAAGTTCTTTCAGATATTCCCCCTGAGGAGAAACTGGATGTCAAATTTACTTATTTGGTGTATTTGGTGCTACATGAGATTTTGATTTTAGCAGAGTGATCCAGCAGCATACTGAAATCCTAACACAAGCATAATTTAGCAATTGGAATACACACTTGAATCACAATACAAATACGATTCTCATTTCCCATCTCTCTCTGCTCACCATGATGGCATGGGAGTTTGTTTCACCTGTTAAAATCAGGCCACTTCCATACCTAACATTATTGCCTGCTGATGAAGACCTACTAGAAGGGAGATAAAACCCTGTTGAAATCCTCTAAAGGACTGCAGGAAGTAACCATACTGTGAATTTATATGTAGCTCATGCAGTGGTCAAGGAAGGAGAAAACACGTTTTCAGTTTTATGGTTTTGAGCAAAAGTAGGTTCACACACACCTGTGGCTGATACGTTCCTGCATGGATCTGTGGCCCTCCCACAGAACTGAGAGGCAACAAGGAAGCTGGATCTGCAATTTTCTGACTTTCCTCTGTAGCACAACTTGGAGAACAGTGATGGGCAATTGCCTTTCCTCTCCGAAGGCTCTCAGCTACAGTTACTTTGCCTGTCCTCCCTTTCCTTCAAGTCGTGGCTGGGAAACCAAATGCTGTAGCAAAACAATCCTGGCACTTAATCCTGTGTTTTGTTTTCAGCCATCAGAAGCACTGCCACCAAAAAGTAGAGTCAGAAGATTGGTAGGAAAGTGACATTGGTGAGTTGAAGTCCTGCAGGCTTAAGCTGAAAGCAGGCAAAACCAGAGTGATGCTGTTCAAAAAGGGAAATTCTTAGAAGAATGTTCAGGAGGACTGTTGGGTGCAGAAGCAGAAATAATGTATTCAGCGGCCTGAATCTCTGCCCAGTCATTTGTATCTTGCTACCTACTTGTTCAGTTTAACATCCTTTTCCCAGAGAGCTATGTGCACCCACTTAACATGGGAAGCTGGTCATTATCTCCATGGTAATGTGTTTAGGGTGAATGTGTTGCTCTTGGGATGGGTTAGTGGTACATGACAGGAGCCTGCCTGTGTTCAGGTTACTGCTGGCCTCTCCCATCAAAGGGGCTGCTGGAAGTATGTGTTTTCCCACCGTCTATATAAAGGTTCACTCTTGGTTCTCAAAGTGGTGAGACATTCAGGTACTGTGGAACTTTGGTTAGTTGAACTGTTGGCTGTGTCTGTGGTCTGTAAGATTTCCTGCAGGAAATCTTGAAGGACAGGGAGAAGTGGAAAGAAAAGACACTATTTAGGAGATTAGCTATGCTAGTTTTTGGGTGTTTAGCCCTTGATGGTTACCCTTTTTATTCTGACCCCTAATAATATTGGCACATCCTCATGAAGTCATTCAGATCTGCCTCTTTTCACTAGAGATACACCAAACTATGAACAGAGAATGGCATGTTTAATCTGCAAGAGCTTCTGGTCAATGTGCTAAAAAATGCAGTTGAGGTCTTTGGGAATTCCCAGTGAGTAATTTTGCATCCTTTCTGTAACTGTGCCTTTGCTTGTTACTGTGTCTGTTCTGGTTTTGACAGCCACAGGAATTCCCCAGGTCCAAATGTGGTTGGCTCTTTTGGGTACCAACTGTAATACATTTCTACACAGGTGGACCATCATTATGGACATGTCTTCTGGGCTTGGTTTAGATCTTTTATTATTAGTTTCGTATGTGCAACTGTTTTGTGTTTAGGTTTTATTTGCCCAGATACATGCGTGCATAGAGAAGGATCCGTACCTCCTGCATCCTATTTACTAGGAAGAACTTGTTTTTAACTTGTCTTGAGGGCAGGTTACCTCCTGTAAATTAAGTCAGGTCAGTGGCGTTACAAGCTTCTCCCCCCATCTATTGAAAGGGCAATGAATTGTGCCTTTAGACCAGGGAGAGAGCGTGGGCCGAAGTGAGAGCTTGAGCCCCACACTACCCGGTTCGGTCTTCTCGAGAATGGAGTCGGGCACAGTCAGCGCTCCGTAAGTGTGAGCGGCGGGGCAAGGCGGGGCTAAACTGCGCCTGGGAGAAGCCTCTCTGCCAGCGCGCAATCTCCAAGCTAAGCTACGGGGAGTTCCGCTCTCATTGTTTGACGTTCCGAATGGAGAAGAACTGCATCGCCCGAGCACCGCCTCCTGCCCGCCCCATCCCGGCGGCGGGCGGAAGAGGCCTCGCTCCAGGCCGCGGGCTCGGCCGTGCGGCGCCATGGAGTTCCCGAGGCGGCGGCTGCTGATGGTCAGCGAGGAGCTGGGCGAGGGCGACCTGGCGGCTCTCAAGTTCCTCAGCCAGGGACACATTGCTATGAGGAAGCTGGAAGCCATCCAGAAGGCACAGGACTTCTTCGAAGCCCTGCAGGAAAAAGGCATGATCGAGGAGAAGAACCTTTTCTTCCTGAAGGAGCTGCTCTATCGGATCCGTCGGATCGACGTCCTGGAATCCCGCCTGGGCACCAGCCGGCAGGAGATGGAGAGGGAGCTCCAGATCCCAGGCCGGGCAAAAGTGTCACCCTACAGGTGAGTGACCGGTGGCCGCGCTGAGCTTCCCCTGGCAGCGTGAAAATGGTTTGATTTCAGGCTGTCCCGGGAGCAACGTCCCCCATTTTAAAAGACAAGAGAGACGTTTGTGCCTGGGAGGAAGACAGAAGTGAAAGGTTAAAGGGGTTGGATAGCACGGACCTAAATTGTGTGGTCAATATTGGGAACAGCATGAAAGTGTCCTCCGCTTCTCTTTCTAGATACCTGCTCTTTCAGCTGTCAGAAGACATCACTGAACATGAGCTGAAGTCTTTCAAGTTTCTTTTGGGGCAAGAACTACCAAAATGCAGGCTAATGCCTAAGGCTGTAAGAATTCTTTAACACTCTCTCCTCCCTGCCCCCTCTTTATAAAATGAGTATTATAATCCATAGATGCATTTGGGTTGCTATGAGGGGAAAGAGCGTCACTTTCTTTGTGGTGTCCCTCTTATGATGAAAACACCGTTAAGAGAAAGGTGCACCTGGAAAGGGATTATTGGCTCTCTGGTGCATATGGGACTTGTCTGTGCTAGTGTTCTGTGTAGCTTTTGCAGTAGTGTCAAGGCCTGGAGAGCATGGGCAAGCACTGCACCAGGCAGAGCAGCCTTCACATCCAAGCACCACATAGGGCTTTAGGGGACTCAGTGGCTTTGATCAGTGGAAGATGTGATCATATTCATTCATCTTGCCCAGCTGATTTTCTTCTGGCTGCTTTTTAAGCCATTCTCAGACACAGAAAATCAGTCACTGTGGCTGTTACCAGGGCTAAGGCCCGAAAGCCTGGAGTTTACAAACAGCCTTGCGGGCAATCAGCTGCTCTTATACTAATTTCAGTCTGCACTTCTGACTCCTGGGTCTCTGTTCTGCCTAATGAAACTGTTGTAGCATTTTCCCTCTTTTCTTAGAGGAGAGATTGTTACTATCTAGGGATAGCTGTTCTGATAGATCCTTGGGTGACCACTGTGCTCTGCCACTCACTGTTTGGCAAGAGCTCCTGCCCCTTGGGTCCCGTTTTTCTTCAGAGCACTCTCTACACCATACTTGCATGGTTATAGCCACTTTTGCCATTGCTCAAGATGTACTGCTACAGTACCTTAAACCTTAGGTGCACATGCACATGCTGCCACTTCCCTCACAGTGCGGAATGGATGTGCCCTAAGAGCAAACTGCCTTTCTGATTACCCAGACAATGCTTGACGTTTTCACTGAGATGGAGAAGAAGGGGATTTTGGGAGAAGACAACCTAAGTGTCCTGAAGAGTCTCTGTGCAGAAGTTGACATCAGCCTGTTGAAGACAATTGAAGAGTATGAATTAAAATTTGGTAAAACAAAAGAAAGGCCTCTTTCCCATAGTTATTCTTGCAGTAACTCATGGGTATCACACAGGACTAACAATGAATACTTTTCAGGTGAAGAAGAGATGGTTGTCACAGAGGCACGAAGGGGCAGCACAGGAGGCACTGAAGGTAATTGAAACTCTCAAAAAACTTAATGTTTAGATTTTTTGCTCTTCAGCTTTTGGACTACACCACTGGCATCCTCTTTACACAGGGGCCTCTCTAAAACCTGATGAGCATCCACTT